TTCACTTTGAACAACATTTTATATGAATGTTAATGTTTTTTTGTTAATTATTGGTTAGAACAAATAAATAGGTTTTTTATAAATAAACAAATACATTTTCATTTTACTTAATATAACGCGGATAATTCATAACAACGAAAATCTTTAGGTGTGAATATCTCCTAAACAAAGTGTTTGCGGACATAGCTTCAGAGGATATTTTTTTCTTGTTTTGAGATCCTTAGTTCATTTTTGCAGTTTAGCCACTTACGAACTTATTCATATTAGGCTTCCAGTATTGTGAATTACTATATTGCAAATAACCTACAGGAAGTTAACTGTAAAATAAAGATGTTTTGGCTGGAATAGGCGCATAGCCTTCCGCTTTTATATCGGGGCTTGAGGTTATTTACACCCGTGAATTATTAAAACAAAACCCCGGCACTGGATATCGACTTTTTGAGGGTGTTTAACTGTGATTGGAAATTCGGGGATCTATTACCTTTTGTGACACTGTGTGAAAAGAAATAATAAGCATATATATATGAAATGTGGGACTTAGTAAATACACTTTGAATGAATTGACTCACCTGGTTTGTTATTCTTCAATTGTAAGGCCTATAGGACAACTAAATAAAATGACTTTCACTCCTGTATAATAAAACGATTTATTTTATAACTGTAATAAATCAATGTATAAAGTCTTGTAATTGTAGCCTTGATAATCTTGGTCTTCAATGTAGTAGGCCTCTCTTCCCAGATGACTTCCTCTCTTGTCTTGTGTCCAGCCTCAAGTGTTTGGCGTCCTCTTCACCATCTGTTGCCAGCTACCTGATCGGACCTTTTTTCTTCTTTTCGATTGTTTATCGATATGAGATTTTCCAATGAGCAATTTGTCCACTGCACCAATGAGTACAATTCACAGTGCAACCTCACATTCCTATATATTATATATTCCTTCTCATTCCCTCACACAATGTCATCTAAAGGAGTAAATACAGGGGGATGTCTACTGCACTATATAAAATGCTTGCTGTTTCGGTATAGGTCTTCTGGTTCTATCGATACGTAATTATACAAAACTATAATCGATATGGGCTCGAAGTAAGAGGCACTTCCTACCGCGAAAAGACAATAGATAAATATACCCTCTTGGATTTTCCGCTCTTTACCCCTCAGCTATCCTTGCTTAATGCCACGTTGATTTTCTAAAGGACCCTCCTTCAGGAAGATGTGTGGCAGTTATTAAGGGGAGTGTGTACTTAGGCTTGCTACCGAGGAGAATAATTTTGCATTTAAGCCGTAATATGGGAAGTTGCTCTGTCGAGTAGGAGGAAGTTTAGGTTCGCTCCATTTGTGAAATAGTCAGCGGGGGGGGTTCTTTATCGTAGGTGCCAGTAAATCATCAGTCAACGAATTCGGTGTAATGGAAGTAATTTATTTATGTAATATTAAATATTACAATATTACATCTGACTCTAGAATCTATTATCACAACTTTGTAGACTTAGATTCATAACTCATAGCAATTCTGCTTTAAACCAATGTTTGAATATGAATTATGAGATCCTTTCTTATTGTAAGTAAAGTTAACCTAGTTTGTCATTTCAAAGCTGCTTATTTTTAAAAAATTGCGGCTGATTTGAAAAACATTATTCCTTGGGAATCGAAACGGGGGTTTATTATGTTTTGAAAAATATGTTAAAAGTATTTTTTATTTTATTTTTTGTTACTGTATATATTGGTGCTGTGGTAAGGACATTTAAAAAAAATACCTGAAGGAAGACTACCCAAAGAAGTCAACTTATGGATAACTAGGGAAAGAAGACGACGAAGACCAGGAAGACCTGGGATAACGAAGTGGAGGAATCCATGATGGGTCATGGTCTACGGGAAGAATGGACCTTAGATAGGATATTATGGACATTACGATCGATAAGAAAAGTCCACCGAAGACTGTACTGTTTTTTTTTTTTTTTCAAAAATTGAGATATATTACGATGACTGACTCTGTAACTTGGAAGTGAATACTCTAAGAAAAAAACCTTATTGAGCATCGAGTACACTTCTCGAAATTGGCAACTCCTGGTGTTTAAAACAAAATAAATAAATCTACATATTTCTCATAACATTTTTAAAAATCGCTGAAAATTATTACACAATGGTTTATTATTTCCAAACAATTATATATCAAGAGTAACATTACTTTCCTTGTAGCATAAGGAAAAAGTAAATAAAAGGTGATTCCTGATAGTGCCCTAAATAATTTTTTATTTCATCATTAGTAATTTTCTAAACAAAAACATTGCTTCATTTTATTTAACACTTAAACGATATTAAAAATCAAAACAAAGGAAATAAGCTTTGCAGTAAAGCATATGAAAAACATTTTTTTTGAATATATCTTTACACCAAATTATTCGATTCCGACGATTTTTTTTTTTCGAAGGAAATTTCGTAAACTTCTAAATAACTATAGATCAACAAATAAGTCTATAGTCTCAGAGTTATTCGGAAATCTAATTTTACCACCCCTCGTAAATTTTTTTCCAGATTCTTTTCGTTGAAGTATGTTATATAGATAAATTTTAAGAGTTTCGAAAAAGAATACTTTAGCCAAGTTTCATTGAAATCGATTCATCTGTTCAGCAGCTACAGTCTATCCGATACAAGTCTTTCGGCTTGATATTAAAAGGGAAGTACTTTTCGGTGAAGTATATTCGATACATATATTTAAAGGGCATCGATGAGAAGATTTTAGCTAAGGTTCATTAAAATCGGTACATTCCTTTAGGTTTCGGTGCATTCTAGACCGACGTAGGTTTTTCAGCCGCCAAAGGAAAGGGCGGATAGTAATATGAAGGTAGAAGGATCATCCTCTGGTGACCTCTGACTTTGATTCCAAATTTGAAAAAAAAATATGTCCATATTAATTTTTATATTTAAATGAGACGCCTATTTAGCCTGATTTGCCCCTTCAATGGCTGTAGATACAATACCTCACCATCTATTTTCAATAATAAACCAAAATCTGTCTCCTCACATACGTGATCTCTACTCCAGATTTCATCTTAAACTACACGGACATCACAATGGACTTATTAACGACATGCCCATCAGTAGACGACTAAAGAGGAGCTGGATGAGAGATCTCCTTTCTTGAATTCAGGAAATAAATCAAGACCAGGAAGGGGTGCTGCTGGGCACTATTTTTTTCCTCATGTGTAAAATGTCATTATTTTTTCCTATTAGTTACAGCACATCTGCTTGTTGTCAAGCTCAGGTGTGGATGGAAATATGAAGACAAAAATATAAATAAAGTGTTACAACTGTAGGCTTGATATTGTTAATCTTCAGTGTAGTAGAGTTCTCTTCTCAGGTAACCTCCTTCCTTCCTCTTCCCTCTCGAAGTCCCTTCCTTTTTTTTTCCGGCGTCCTTCTCCAGCTGTTGCTACCTGCTCCGCCATTTTCCTTCTTCCTCCTTTATCGATTGTTTATCGATATGAGACTTTTCAATGAATAATTTGTTCACTGCACAATCGAGTACAATTCATATTGCAACCTCACATTCCTATATATTCCTTCTCATTCTCTCACACAATGTCACATAAAGGAGTAAATACGGGGGTGGCTACCTACTATATAGGTTACGACCAGTGTTGCCGTTTGTACGAGGTTATGACGTAATGTACGAGGTACGAGGATAGATCAGCCTCGTACCTCGTACATAAGTTTTACTGACGTATGCAATGCAAGGTTATATTTTATGAATGAAGTTTAGAATTGTTTTAAGGTTATTTTGACTGTATTATTATTTATATTGATATGAAATACTGAACTTCTGTTGCTTAATAGACAAATAAATTGCAATTATACCTTCTTTAATTAGAGTATGATTATTATTTCCTTCATAAAACCATGATTTTCTATATATGTTTTTTTTTAATTTTCTAGAAAAAAACTTTTAAAAAAATATTTTAGATTTTATTCAGTATAAAATAAAATATAAGAAACCATATCCATTATTAACTTCATAAAACTTTTTTTATAAATATATATTTTTTAAAATGTGTTGTAATAGAAAATTAAACAGAAATTTTTACCGTCATTTTTATTGTTACATTGTCATTATTTTATTACCGTCATTCGAGCATAAAATAAAATACGAGAAAGTATATCCATTATTTCCTTAATAAAACTGCAATTGTAAATATATTCTAGATAAATTCATTTTTTTTTTAATTATTAGCGTAATTTTAAAAAAATATTTTCGATTTTTAATCGAGTAAAGTAATTAATAGAAAAATTAACTAGTACTCATAACGAACCCATCTTAAATAATGAAAAAAATATATTTTTTTTCAGTGGTCCACATTTATTTTGTGCGAGATCTAATTGTAAGCTAAATACTGAAACAATCACAATCTATGATTTTTTTTTGTATTATAATGGATATGTCTGAAAGCATCAATGCCCCAATAATTAATTTGTATTGTCCTTCCAGAACCACTAACATCCTTTCATAAAAGTAGTTGTTTTGTTTTTAGAAAAAAAAAAAAATTAGTCTTTCCCCCAAAAATTAAATCTTGGATCTACTAATGAATACTTATGAAGAGTACTTTAAGAAGTTTACTTAGCTATTTTAATTTTTATATAATGTTTTCAGTAGTTTATAAAAATATATAAACTTTTTCATATATATTTTACTAAGCGAATATTACTTCTTGACCCATTAACTTAAAAAAAAAGTAATGTAAAAAGGCTTTAAAATATATGAATGGAGGTAAAAATAAAAAATTCTGATCTGATTTTACTATTAAAAAAAAAAACAATAACACTGGCATTATAACAGTGGAAGTTGTGAATGAGCAAGCGTACGAGGATGTACGAGGCTTGAGTACGAGGTTTTGTCACAGAGCGGGCGGTAACACTGGTTACGACGCCTTACCTAATAACCTGAATAAAATATATTTGTCTTCAATACTAACTTTATTTATCAATATATTTGTTTGTTGTTTCAGGAAAGATGTATAAAGAGTGGATCCCTGACTGTTAACTACGAGAAAGTAGACATAGACTACAAACTGAAGCACAACGATCTCCTCGCTAATGTTGTTCACAGGTTAGCCGAAAGTTTTATCAGCCTTAACAATATTATCAGCTGAGCGTAGCCTTCTTGATCTGTCTTCTGATAGAAACTTATATAGATATATATATAGCATTTTATCTAGATATATATATAGCATTTTATCTTCTTTTTTTTAGCTACATACGATGAAATTAAAAGTTGAGTACCATATACAAATAATAATTTTATATGCATATAATATATTTTGTTTTTACAGTGTTCATCGCAATGCTTATATAAGAGGCATATTTCAAAATGGCCGCTTTTACCTTTCAAGAAAAGAAACATACAAAATTATCAGTTCTTTTCAGTCTTATAATCAATATATCAGAAAAAAATCGTTTGATTGTTTAAACTTAAACAACCAAATATTTTTTCCTTATATTTCTTCTCATTTTAAGACTGTTTGAAATTGATAAATTTAACTATATTTTTTTTTTTGTCATTATGAAATATTGATTGCCTTTTATTTAGGCAGAGAAGTACTGTTGTTAAATTAGAAAAAAACGAGACAAAAACTTTTTTATTGCATCAGTGATTATTTGTTTTTGTTTTTTGCGAAATATAATGTAAATAAAAATTTGAACTATTTAGCTGATTTAAATAAACTACGTCTAAAAAGCTCTCACCTTTAGGGTTACATATTGATTATTATTATTATAGATGATAGGTTTTTTTTTTTTTTTTGCTGCTTGATATTTTAATGATAATTTTTTTGAAACTTTTTTTTAGTGAATACAGTATTATTATTTTTTTTTTATTTAGATATACAATCTGCCCCGACTTGTCCCGAATAGACAGGACTTTATAAAAGAAAAATAAAGTGGAAAGATTAATAATGTTGCTCGTTCCCATACTTCACTGTTATCTGGACTCGACTTAATACGTCATTGGGGAGAACTTGTTTGACAGTTTGTTATCTCTGTCGTTCAAAATTTGTTTTTTTTTCCACATTTTTTTGTCCTTTTTTTTATTTTCTAGTTACAGTTTCATGTTGACTAAAGTAACGCTTTCGCTTATATTTCTTTCTTCTTTTTTTTCTGTTCTTCCCTACCTCGCCTTTTAGGCTATACGGGATTTTCCCGTGCCGGGGGGTGAGGGCTGGGAATTTAAAATCCCATCCGGCACCGGGACGCGAACTCGTACTTTTTAATCTCTCATATCTGTTATCTGGTTGCCGGGCAACCCGCTCCCTCGCTTATATTTCTATACGTTATAAGATAGCCATGGATTGTAATGGTACATTTATATAAATACAAACAAATATAAAAATATATATATATATATATATATATATATATATATATATATATATATATATATTTAAAGAGTCCGGAATGACCGAGTGGGCTTAGACGCTTGCAATATATATAATTAATAATTAAGTAACGTCAAGCATGGTATGTTCTTGTATAAATGACCGGATCGTGTGATCGTCCACCGAGGAATAATCAAGCTGCTAAAGATCCCTCCGTGTATGTGAGAACCGTCGGCCTACTGAAGGTAACTCACACTGACCAGACGCAGTATGTGATATAATGATCGGAAATCGCGATGTGATTTTTCCAGGAAGTTTGGTCCATGTATGGTCTGTTTCAAGGAAAAGAATATAGCTCTTTGTGCGCCTTCTGACTCTTAGCAGCCGTAATCCGTGGATTTAGACAGATTTTTCACTGTCCCTGAACCTTAGGAAGGACACTGCGTCTAAAGGTGGCTGTCGTTGCACCATAAAGGCCATAGTCCGTAGCAACGTGAGTTTTGGTGACCCCCTCCAGATTATCTGAGCTCCCGCAAGCTTTATAAGTCTGAAAGAAGACCACATCACACGGCCAAAGACTAAATAGTCCATAGTGCCAACCGAAAAAAATATATATCCCTAAAACCCACTAATCTGTGGGTTTGTCCCTACCCTTCTCCAATTACCTTTTATACATTCAGAATTCTATAATTTTCTGGGAAAATACTACAGCAAAATTATAAACTAAAAAACATACTTCTTTATTTCCTCTCCACAACATTACCTGTAGGTTAAATTAAAAAAAAACAACACTTATAACGTATATATTTGTACGTTTTGGGCCACTTTTTTTCTTTCTTCAGCATCTAATCTGACCCAGTAATGGCGGAGTCTGGCCAAGAATAAGTTAGTTCATGACACCTATAGATTACAAATAATTTTTTTTATCTTCTTATTTTTCTTTTTTTAATAGGAAGCCTACGTTTATAATTTTTTCATATTTAGGGCAATAATACTTCCAATTTTCTTCAAATTCTTTTAATTAATTAAAAATTATTCATGAACTATGACCTACCGGAAATTCAGTTTGGCTTATATAACAACAAAAAATTAAGTAAATACTTGACAAGCACAAAAGACAAGGTGATAAACCACTAGACAAGAAAAATATGGTTTATAAATTAGACTGCCAACATTGCCAACAAATATATATATATATATATATATATATATATATATATTATATATATATATATATATATATATATATATATATATATATATATAGATGAAAAATCAAAAAAACTAAAAACCAGAATAGCACAACATACATCAAACTGCAAAAACATTAACATAACAGCCCTAGCAAATATTAATCACTACACACTTTTGACTTTAAAAAACCCAGAAATACTAGCAATAGAAGCTAAAACAAATAATAGGAAACTGCTGGAAGCTATACATATAACAAAAAACAATAATAGAACAGTAAACTATAAAACAGATACAAAAAACAACAACAGCCATAATAAGAAATAAGAGGACAGGTACAAAGTACAGAAACAAAACTAAAGATTGCCAGATGTCGGTTATTATATCAATGAATATGAAAAGATGTGTAGCACCAAAAAATAGTTTAAAAAATGTAACAAATATTTGATTTTTGACAAATGGTACCAAATCAAAAAAATAAAGTGAAGATAAAGATTGCTCTGATGATGGGGAAATTGTCCTGAAACATAAGAGACAGCAAATGTAATTAAAAGAATTTGAAGAAAATTGGAAGTATTATTGCCCTAAATATGAAAAAATATTTTTTTTTTAGTCGACCAGTAGGCAAGCTTGTGTAGATGAAATAAAAAATAATGAAGGTGCGAGGTCTAGAATATGAACCAAGAAATAAAAGATGTTATCGTTACACAACTTATCCACCCCCTCCCATTTAAAATTATAGAAGTAGTCAAAATTACATTTTCTTTCTTTTTTTTGTTTTTACTCTACATGGGGAAGAAGAGGGAGGGGAGGGTTGTTAAGAATGAAAAATGAAGCTGGAAGTTATGTAGTGATAAGTGCCCTTAGATTCATCACCGACTCCTCGTGTGTGCTAAAAGTTTTTCTCATCAGGCAGATTGCTTGTCAGGATGATTACTCTGCCTACAGCATATGATGATATATTCTGATAAAAAGTCTCCCATGTTGATGAGTAGCTTTCGTTATTAATTCTTTTCCAACGCTGTTTTTTTTTTTTTTTTCAAAGCAAAGGTTTTCCCTTTTATACTACTTGTGTTAGATTGAAGGGCAGTCTGGTATATTTTTTTTTTTTTAACATGTTATATCATTATTTACTTTACAATAAACTTTTTCTCATTTCATAATAAAATCTAAAAAAAATACCATATATTTATTAAAATAGGTTACATAATTTATATTTATTAAATTTTCTTTAATCATTATGTCTCGAGTTTTATATTCATAATTTACTTTTGGTAACAACTAACTTTTTATCAATTTTTTTTTTAAATTAGCTGTTAATTTATATATAAATATATATATATATATATATATATATATATATATATGTTTATTGACTTATCATCTCTTCTTCTTTTTTTTGTATTAGTTTTTATTAAGTTAAAAGCTAAATAACCAAAATGGTAGGTATATAAGTAAGAATATTTTTTTCAGTGATATATTCTCCCATTTTTATTTTCACTCAATTATATCATTACATATAACATTTCGGGATCCACTTATATCCCATCTTCAGACTAGAAATTACAACATATCGCTATTAACAATTATATATGAACAATTATCATTATATATGAGCATTTATTAATATAAATAAAAACAAAAATAATTTAATTTTTATTTTATTTTGCCAATCTTACCAGTATCTTAATTCTCCATAAGACTTGTCATTTTAATAAAATGTTTTATTTTTTGTCTTATTGCTAAAACTGTAGTAATTTTAAAATTATTATTTATTTAATTATTACTATTGTTATATGTATTTTATTATTTTCAGTGTTGAATATATTACCTGAAAATCTCCTCTAGGGAGAGTTTAGTCAGATACTGAAAATTAAACTTTAAGCAAGGGGTCAAATTCCAATTCTTATATTTATTTTTATATATCTAATTTATTTATAAGATAAGCATAGTGGCTCCCTATTTTGGTCGCATCGGTTTTAAAATTAATAGCTGTTTTATTGTGTTTAATGACGAATATTGACTCTATTATTTTTCTATGTATACTCTGTGTTTCCTTATATAAAATTTGTGGTTTTATCATTAATTATTGTTGTTTTTATTTATATTGATAAATGCTTTATTGTTCATATATAATTGTTAATAGCGATATGTTGTAATCTCTAGTCTGAAGTATCCCGAAACGTTATATGTAATGATATAATTGAGTGGAAAAAAACGGTACCTATAAAATAAGTATCTCCCTTAGGATAAATGAAGACAAAATGGTAGAAGAATAAAATCAAATAATAAGATGTTAAATACACAGTAATTTATTTATTTCTATTGTCTTATGTCAGTTTCCAACTTATTCTTTGTGTAATTTTGAGAACATATAGCTATATATTTTTTTTATTTTTAGGACCACGAATATTTTTTTAGCCATTTGTAAAAAGACTTTTTTTTTGTTTTAAGGGCAAATGTTTGTCCTTTTTTTGGTTTTTGATTTTGTTTTTTGATATAATTTTTAATCTGCCCCCGCTTACTATTACTAATTAGATTCAATTTTTTGTTTTCAACCATATTACACAAAATATAATTACTTAGAAGTGCATTGACCACTTTTTTCAAACATCAACATGATTATTAATACCTTTTTATAATATTACATCAATATTAGATAAACCATTCGTCACTTTCTCATAAACATTTCTGTTTTAAATTAATTTTTTTTTAAATTAACTCTGTATGTGACTATTATTAGTTTATTATAAATATAATAATTTTCTTTACTAAATCTACATTATGGGGGAAGATTCGATATTCTCTAGTATCTTCTATAAAAAAATTATTACTTCCTTACAAAATACTGAATCCAAAATCCTTCATGGTTTGTAATGGTACAGGTATTTTTATTTTTTTTTTCTCCACGTCACCCCATTAGTAAGTGTTCCACAGTTAGTCAATCTTCAATTAGTACGGATTTATACTAGTTGAACCAATAATTCTAAAGAAAAAAACACTATCATTGTGCTTAGATCAATATATTATCAAATCAGTATTAAGGTAGGAAAATTGGAAAAATATAGATAAATTGATATTGAAATTTATCAAAAACAATGTTTTTTTTTCAAAAAAAAAAAAGTTTAAAATAACAAAAACAACAACGTTTTGATAATGATCTAGTTACACTTTATAGTTAATGTGCCCAGATTTTTTCTATCCTAAAGACACTCATTCTTTTTGCAGTTAGAAACAAAAAAAAAAAACTGACCAATATTACCGAAGATAAAATTTAAAAATAAAACATATGATTTTTAAAAATTTAGTTCAGAAACAAATATATATCCGATAAAGAAAAATATTTTTTTTTGGGAGGGAGGTGGTCTTTCAGGTTGTGCTATCCCTTATATACATTTTATTAAAAAAATTTAACGTGGCTTAGAATAAATATTCCCCTCCCTCATTGACACCATCAAATCAAAAATCAATAATATCCTGATAGCCAAAATCTCTGGAAAATAAAAAATGTTAGAGTGGTGAAGTTTTTTCCTATTCTCAGGAATCTCTTGTATTTTTTTATTCTAAGAAAAAATATTATTAAATAGAGAAGTGACTTATGGATCATCTTGTATATTCATCCATAATAACCTCTTTTTTTTTGTATTATATTGCACGAAAGCATACTATTTTATTTTTACCTTATTTTGTAGTATTATTGAATTTTTTTTTTAAATTATCACTATTGCAAAATGTGATAACCAATCACATTATAAACATTACTTTAAACATAGCTGGTAATGGGATCCTCACCTCTACACTTTTCGGAAGTGTCAATTGAACATCGGCTATCAGTAAACCTGAGAGCGAAGCTGGTGTTTTCGTTGTGAGGAGAGAAGGCTGGAAGCCGAAAACACGACACAAGAAAGAGTGTTGTAGCATGTGTTGTTTTGTGTTTGCAGGCATGAGGTGCCAGTCACAGCCGAGCCCATCATGATAGTCCACATGGACGAAGACGTTGTCGTTGTTAACAAACCTGCTTCCATCCCAGTAAGTGGCATTGAGACGCCAGTCCATCTTATAGTAATTACAATTAATTATAAGATTAGTATGGGCCAAACAGTAAATAATTCATTTTACAAATATATATCCTTATATTAATTTATTTTTTTTTAACTTGTGGTGCCTCATAAATTCCAAAAAAAAAAAATCAAAACAACAATCTTTATATTCATTAAAATAAAAATTTATTATTCTGTAGGATGTCTATATCATTTTTTTTTTCTTATTATTATATATCTCTAGAATGAAATATGAGTGATTCTTTGAAAATTAACCTTCCTTGCAATAAAAATAAGATATTTTTGAGTTTGATTTTGACTTCTTCAGTAATCTTACTGAAGGGAAATTGAGTACTTGATATGAATAAAAGAACTGGTTGATGGTAGTTCTTGCTTGAAAAAACGTTCCTACTCTTCTTCTTGGAGGTAATTTCAGAAAGAAACATGGTGTGCCAGATGGATTACTTGAAAATTAGGATAGAGCCTTTTTTTCATGTTTTCAAAACTTATCGATTTCGTGTTTGGATTGCCATGTAGAAGCGTGAGAAGAAGAATTCTTACTCTTGCTCTTTTGCCCCTCAGTGTCAAGTTCGACTCTCATTTCACTTTCTCCAGCCATTCCAATCTTTGGCCATTGGATCTCGTAGAACCATCTGATCCCGCGTCTTACTAGTTGTTTTCCCCAATCCTTCCAGGCTTCTGACTGGAATCTGGCGTTTTCCAGCCACCTGAGGTAACACAACTCTATTTTCGCTTTCATGGAGACAATACCTAATTTGTTCCTAATGATGTCATTGTGTATACAGTCTCTCTTTGTTTTTTCTACAATTCTTCCCTAAAAATTGCCTGCCCTACAAATCCTAGAAAGGGCAAGAGAGTATAATGTATGCACACAGTACCTCTTCGTAGACTTTGAGAGAGCTTATGATAGCATCCTAAGAGATGAGCTCTACCACGATATGTTGGGCCTGGGTGTCCCACCTAAACTTGTGCGACTGATACAAGTGACAATGAAGGAGTTACAATGCACAGTCAGAATCCAAGGCGATATGTCGGACTACTTTGAAATGCAGAAGGGACTGCGTCAAGGAGATTGCTTGGCATGTCTTCTATTTAACATTGCCCTCGAATGTGCCATTAGAAGATCACAAATTCAGATTGGTGGAACGGTCTTTAATCATTCAGTGCAATTACTAGGGTTCGCCGATGACATTGCATTGGTTGGAAGAACAAGGGCAGCTATAAAAGATGCTTTCTTAGTGCTACAAGGAGCACCAGCGAGAATGGGCTTAAAGGTCAATGAGATGAAAACAAAGTTTATGCGGGCCGACCCAAAGTATGCGGCAAATGTAGAAATCAGAGGGATGACGTTTGAAGATGTCTCGGAATTAATATACCGTGGCTCGCAAGTTAATGTAAATAACGATTTGAATTCGGATATACAGAGACGCATCATGGCCGCAAATAGAGCTTATTTTGGTCTCCAGGGACATCTCAAAAGTAGAGTGGCCTCTCGTAAAACCAAGCTGCTCTTGTACAAAACCATGATCAGACCAGTACTAACATATGGGTCAGAGTACTGGTCTTCTCTTTTTGCAGCCATTTTCAAAAATTCTTTTTTAAAAAACAAAACATCAGTCCTATAAAAACATTATTCCTAAAAATTACATTGATTAGTATATACATATATATTTTAAGAAATAATGTTTTTATTGGACTAAGGTTTTTATTTTTTAAAAAAGAAAAAGAATTTTCGAAAATCGCTCTTGGAGCCAAAACGTTAAAATTTTAAAATAATTTTTAAATTTTTTATAAAAATGTTTTAAATGGATAATAAAAAAGGATTAAAAAGGGTTTTGATAAATAAATAATCATATATATTTAAATATTGTAGTTTTGATTACTTTTTTTCTTGATCTGATTTACGAGGTATCACAGCTTAAGTGACATAACAATATCAGAGATACAGTATATCAATATTATAAAGTTATGTTTGTCAGTTCATTTTTATCATATTTTTTTAAATAATATTTGATTGGAAGATGCTCCTTAAACTAGTTTGCTGATAGCGTTCTATGTTTCCAGTAAACTTATCTCTAACAAATAATTTTTATAATTCAAATTACAGTTTTAGAAAATTTAATTAACTTTAAATTAAGTTTGTTTTATTTCACTGTTTGGCTGTACAAATGTTTTATCAAACCATTTTATAAAATGTCTTTCTAACTAATTCTTCATTTATACATGAAATATTTATATTTTTATGCATGAAGCCTATTATTTTTTTTTATATAATGTATTAATTAATCTGCATGTATTTAGAAAAAACTATTTGGGTCTTTATGTTTTTAGAGGCATGTCTGCATGTTGATACTTATACCTTTTAATATAGGATGCTTCTTTATTATGTTTTCTATTATTTCATTTTTGCTTTGGTTTGTTTCTTCATGAATTTTGTTTAATGTTCATTTCTAATTGTTGATCTTGAAGGATATTTTTTCACTGTCGTTCTGTATCTGTTAACGCTATTTCTCCTTTAGAGCTATATGTTTCCGAGTTCAAAGTTCTGATTCAATCATCAAACCTCATCGTAAGTCATAATAGGTTGATTTTATTTGTTTTTATTTTTTATATCATAGATTGATTAAGATAAATCAATATCTTATTTCATATGTTTCTTGTCTGTATAAGTCAACTATTTTTTTGGAGAAGGGAATAATTATAAAGTTTGTGTATTTTTTTAGAGTTGTTTTCTCTTAAGGTTATTCCAAGAACCTTAATGTGTTTTTTTTTATTTAAACCATGGTATTTTATCGCACTTATACACTTCATATTTGGACTAAGCACATTTTTTTTTCATTAATCAATTTATATTAATCAGGGTTTAAATTTAGCAATTTGAAAACAATAATAGAGAGAATGGAAGTAAATATTATTCGTTCTATGAATAATGGAATCTCAATTCAAATTTACAACCGTTTCAATTGAAGTGTTCACAATACTAATTTTTTTAATTGTCATTAGTGATTGAAATCAAAACAAGATAACTTCAAAGAAAACTCTATAATTAAATCATTAGTGGCACATTATCACTGTTGAAATAGATATTAAGTCAAAAGTTAAAATAAATTAACAAATAAAATAAAAAGTTTATTTTATTATAATTTATAAGTCAATACTTCCTATTAAGGAAGGAGATGGTCCCGGGTGGCAGTCATAAAAATACTTGAATAGTTAACAAACTATTTTTATTTCAAGCCAACGTTTCGACCTAACTTTGTAGGTCTTCTTCAGGACTTGAACGAACAAGATACAAACAAATATAAAAATATGATATAGAAGGATATAGTACATTCTAGCCCTGAAGAAGGCCTGCAAAGTTAGGTCGAAACATTGGCTTGAAATAAAAATAGTTTTTCATTATTTTTATGATCGCCACCACGTACCATCTCCTTTCTCTATAATATTCAACGGTCAACTATCAAGTATTCATTAATACTTTCTATTTTAGCAAAAGCAAAGAAGTATTTAAGTATTAAGAACTTTCTGATGTTCCTAATAATTTAAAAAAATTAAATAATCAACAATTTTTTTATTGCTGTTTCTGATATTTTCTTAAGATATGTTTTGTTTTGTTTTTTCAATAAAATTACTTCATCAATTTACTCTATAACTTCTTTGTTTTAATATTCATTGAACAAATTATATGTCTTAGTAATTATTAATGCTTATATGATATTAAGAACACATTTTAAGACATCACATAGGAGTGAATTTTGAATGTGTGAATTTTGCCATTCTCAGTAAAACTCTCGAACAAGAAAAAATTATGAAACTCTTGGCAAAGTTTTTTGTTTTGAGAGTTATAAATTAATTTAGTTGAGCTATTTTTGTATAAATTTTTATAATTGTAAAAATTGCAAACTAATGCAATAAATTAAGACTTTATTGCATTTGTCAGCACTTGATCACTTTAGAATTGTGTAAAAAGCTGATATAGTTTATTATTATACACTTAAAGACAGAAAAATGGACACTCTTTTTTTTCATTAATAAGTTGTATCGGTACTACATCTGTATACTAATCATCACCTTAGGAAAAAGAATTATCTTTTTTAAGTTTGAAAGAAAAATCCTCTGTACGATTGAATACTGGTGCATGGAAGAAACAGGCCAACTCCTTACAGAAATTGTTGAATTAATATTTTATGGTATGAAGAGGTTAAGTAACTTCATATCACGTAACTTGTAACTTGAAGCAACACACCAGGAAGCCTCTATGCAACAACCATACATACCAGAAATTTTATGATTATTAAATTTGTATTATTTACTTCTGAATTTGATTATTAAGGTTTGATAAGAAGTACTTATACTGTCCCTTTAAAGCTTATTCATTCAAAATAGACATTTTGGAGACAGTTACTCAAATCAGAACTTTTTTTAATAATTGTGGGTTGATGATTAACTGTAATGAATAACTGAAAAGAAAGATGGTTGGGGTGATCAGTCAAAATAAAATAGTAAAAACAAATAATTATATTTATTTTCACATTTGCCGACATTTCGGTCCGAAGTTCAGACTTTTATCAGGGCTAAGAAAAGTCTTGCTTCCTCTTCTATTCCTGATAACCATCCGAGGCGTCTGAAAAGAAGGTGGCCTCGGGACCTTCTAATATAGAAATATAATTGGAGTGCTACCAATGGGTAGTTTCTCTTCATGTTGTACATGTCATATTACTTGTTCATATTTACTTGTTGCATTTATTATTAATTACAGTTGTAAATTTCGTTAATAAAAAAAAATAATAATAAAAAAGGTAATAGAGTGAACATTAAAGTGAAATAAAGTAGGTAGAATAATAACAGTAACAGAGAACTAAGAAATAAATAATAATAACGGTAACAAAGCACTGACCAATGAAATAATCATAATGAAAATAAGGTAAGATAAGAAATGAAAAACGGTAATATTAGAATAAAGTGTAAAACAGAGAAAAGAAATATGAAGTTATATAAGGAAATAATAGATATAAATAGAAAATTAAGATAGTGCAAAATCTATATTTGATAAATTTTACAATATCTTAATTTTCTATTTAATAGGAGTGTCCACATTACTGTCTTTGAGTGTACATGTTAAACTTCCTTAATTAGTTTTTAAATTATTTTATTCTAATCTTTTTTTATCTTAGTGAATAACTCATTATACCTAAAACTAAGTAGATTATTATTTTATATGATATTAGATTAAGTATTAATTTGTATGTTATATCTACAAACACTCTCAAATAGACAATTTCTTTTTCATATTTAATACTGAATTTTCTTTTCTACATATATATACATATTTTTGTTGTTAATGAATTAATATTTTCTGTTTTATGACATGGTTTACTAAAGATATGATTTATAGCTAATTTGATTCATTAAAATATTTTGTATCTGTATTATATTTTTTTAAAGTAAAGTGTTTCACTTTTTTTTTCTACATATTATTGAATACGATTTTTCAAAATTGTAATTTTAATAGTTGAATAACTTTTTTTTCTATTTTTATTAGAAATTTGTTTAGTATTATAAAATATATAAGATACAATATTTATTATATTGTTGATGCAGCTGTCATAAAGCAGAAAAGAGGAACATATTTATTCCAATTTTTTACTTTAGTATATATTTTAGCTTAAATGTACTTGTTTCTATGAAATCTACTTCCAGCTAACATAATACGTCATTCAACCATGAGGAAAAAATTAATAAACAAATTTTAACTCACCAGTTAATGTTTCATTTGATCTTTTTTAATAAATTTTTTTTTTTACTGTCAAACATCAACAGTCAAGTTTTAACAATGTCATTTCAGTTTCATCATTTGTGGAATTAATTCTACAAAATATCGATCAGTATCTGATGTTAACAATACACTGTACATTTCTGTATAAGTTGCAATGGTGTGGCATTTTTTGTCTGTATAAAACTTTAACTAAATAGACAAAGCTATTTTTTTTCCGGCTTTTTTCTATCTTTCTCTTTTCTGTTCATTCTTCACCTAACTGTGAATAATCACTGTTTATTTAATAGTATTGACCAACAAAGAAAATGTTTACTGGTCAAAAATTAATGATATTATTATATTTTCTGAATCCAAAAATCACAATGAAAAAAGTTAATTGGTTTCTGATAAATAGTTATTTTTTAGTTAGTTGGAAGGTTGGCTGCATTGTGCTTGGATGTTGTTATTCTTTGATTTATAATTTTTAGAGGTTATTCTCATTACTGAGGTTATAGTTAAGCAGTTTTAATTGTTTTGTTCTTCTTCAGTAAGATTTTCTAAAACTAAATGCAAAAATATGTCAAAGTATTAGAAATTCTTTGTTATATTTATGGTTTTGTATCATTTTAAAAACAGTACTTGAGAGAGAAATTCTTGCAATTATGTGATGCTAAGCTCGAGGAAAGAATCTTAGTTGGATCTCAGATTCATGAATTTATTTAAGGTTTATTTAACTTTGATTCAATGAGAAAAGATAAAGAAGATTGGGAAGCATTTAAAGGTGTAAAATTTACATGGATTTCTTTTTAACAAGAGAGACAAAAAGCATCCTTAGGTGGTTAAAGAACTAACAAAAAAATTTCACGCTCCGGTTTGCAAATATGTAGAAATATATAATCTGGAAGAAAAAAAAAAAAAAAGAACAAAAACAATACAAAGTGCTTTGTATAATAAAAGAAATGTTTTCAAAGGAAAGAATATTTAGAATAACGAATGATAATGTTAATCGAATTGGACGAGTAAAAAGTGGTTAGAAAGAAAAATGTAAAAAAGGAACAAGGAAAAGGTGGATCCGTGACAAATGTTAGGTGGGATAGTTTCAGGTGTTCGGTACTGAAAGGACTTGTTAAACACAGCAGTCTAGTGGGAAGGAGGGTAGAAGTTAGAAAGATCGAATCAAATAGAACCGGATTGAATGAATGGAAGATTTAAAGTGTAGGCTCCACAGGATGTTGTTGCTTTTTATCTCATACAAGAATGAGGATAAAAAATAATGACATATTTTTTTATATGTGTACACCTGTCAATCCCGAAAACAAATCTAAGTGAGCAGTTCATATGGTATTTGAGTCTTACTTCAAATTTGCAAGGGAGCCTACCATATACCAGACAACCATAGTTAAACAAAATGGAGGAAACTATGAGTTGACAGGTTATGGCAGGAAAGAGATGAACAAAGATGATTGAATTGTTCAAGTTATTGATGTGAGGTTTCCAGGGTTCTGTATTTTGTGTTTGTTTGTTATGTATTGTTAGTGTGTGTTAGGAATTGTGAAAAAAGAAGGTATTACACAATTTTCATTTTTATCGACCCAAAATTAGTAACAATTGCAACGATTACCTCCTTAGAGTTTGAAAACATTGTGTAAACATTGTTTTGTTGGTCATTGTAGTGAATTCTTATTAAAACGTATGACAGTTATGAGTTCGGAATGGATCGGAGAAGAGAAAGATGAAGGATTGCTAGTAGGATGTAGCGATAGAAAGCTAGACTACTGACACTCTTGCAGGCACGAGACCCCAGTATTGGCCAAACCGCTCAGAATAATACACCTCGATGACGATCTAGTGGTTCTCGACAAGCCCTGCTCTCTTCCGGTGAGTAGCAGGCCCCCCCTCCCCTTCCCACAAAATAAAAATGTCCGTTTGTAAATTACCTCTTCTTCAGCTTTGATGATCCGATCACAAATTTTATGATTTTGTCATCCATTATTCTTATTTTTAAATCAGTGCTGTGAGCAAAACATAAACTTTATCCATTCTGATGTTAAAAAAATATTTCTAAATAAATTAAAACTTTTATATATCGAAAATAAAGGATCGTTAAAAAAAAAAAAATTGATTTATAGGAACATTGCAAATTTTCATCCTTGGCATACTTAAAACAATTACAATTATTATATAACAATTTCTTTTATCTAGGACAATCTATTTTCGTTAATGTCAATTTTTTATTTATAAAAAAAAAGATAATTTTCATCAAAAATAAAGCATCCATTTTACTCTCGTAAGAATTAAAGTTAATAAGAAAAAATAAACTACTGTTTAAAAAAGTTCTAATTGTGAATAATAATACGGTAATTCAGTTATTAAGAGGTTTGAAAGTTTTTAAGTAGATAGGAAATATTCAAATCCTTAAAGTTTGATAAAATCTATGAAATGTATTACTCCAAAAAAAGATAACTTCATTACTTTTTTAACTCTAAAAAACAACTGTAATAGTTTTTATTATGATGGATGAAGAATTGCAATCTTTCCATTTATCAATTTTGATTTTAAGAAACTCTTATGTTCAATATGTAGAGGTTTGACTATGATTCCTATCATGAAAATATATATTTTGTTGATTTAAATTTCACTGGGGTTTATAATATTGACAACCTAAAATACTTGTAGAAAACGAATTGGTTACAAGTTATAGTTTAGTATTTATAATACAGGATTGCACCATAAGAATTGTCGCTTTTGAAACAACTAAAATTTTTAAGATTGTTGACATTATTTTTTTTTAAATAAATATATATATTACACAAAATGTATGTACAAAATTCTGCAATTCAGTTTACCCAATTTTAATTTTGTAGTCTGCCACAGTGTGAGGGGCCCTTTACGTTGAGCCTGATCCTAGTGGATGGAGGTCTCCAAACTTTTTGGTCCGTGGGCCACGTTGTGCCCTCCACTAAGTCCCGCGGACTTATGAATAAATGACAGCGATGAATAAATGACACATCAGTTACGGAATGAGCTTTCTCAGAGAAACAACTGGCGCAATAAATGGTTTAAATACTTCTTGTTTGAGTGATTTACTAAATTTCGTTTTTTTTTTTTTTTAATTTTGCCATGTAATCAAAGAAACTTTCGTGGGCCAGATTGGAGGTGTTTGCTTGGGTGTAGTTTGTAGACCTCTGTCGTGTTTTCCAGAAACAGTTCTCTTTGCCTCAAGTCCATATCCCTCTTCTTGCAGGCCTCCTTGGCTCATTCGTATCAGATCTCCATGTTTGGCCTGCGTGTTATTCTTGCCACGCGTTCCTTATACATTCTTGAGACATGCCTGATCTACCAATATTCCTCAATAACCTCTGCGACTGATCTTACCTCTAAGTTGATCCTTATCATAATGTTCTTAATTCTATCTTAGAATAGAATAGAATAGAAAAATAACTTTATTCTGGGACACAGTCCCTTGAGAAAAACAAAATAGAACGAAATTAAAAGATTACATCTGGCCAAAATAAAATCAATCGAAAAAAAGAAATAATGTAAAGAAAATATAAGGTAAACATTCTATATACAAAACAAACGAAACTATATACAAAACAATTAATACTATGACAAGACACTTAAAGCTATTTGCACTGATAGACCAGTATACACTTTTAAGAAAATAATAAAGAATTACAAAATAAAAACATATCAAATTCTCTATTAAAATTAGCTCGAATGGTTTAGCAACTATCTGACTGTTTTTGGGATAGGAATTGGAATAGGAGGGTTTTGTATGTGGATATGGATGGGGAATGTCGAATTTTGATAGGGAGGGAATTCCAGAAATTGACAGAGCGAACTATAAAGGAATTTTGGAATGAGGCAGATCTGTGATAAGGCATGTAAACGTTAGAAGGTCGAGATCTTGTGGACAGGGAATGGACTGAGGATTTGAACTGGAGAAGGTTGTGGTCTTAAGAAGGACGATGGTTGTTGATGATTTGGTAGAGGAACGTACCTAGGGAATATTGTCTTCGGAAGGAGGGAAAAAGCCACTTTAACTCAGCGTAGTGGTGAGAAACATGGGAGTATCTTACTTTGTTTTGGCCAAGATTTTCTTAAATAGCACATCTCCATCTACAGGGTGTTTCAGGGTTAAGTGACCAAACTGAAAATATGAACTAAGGACGTCAAAACAAACAAAAAAATTCCACTGAAGGTATGCCCACAAACGCTTCGTTTAGGAGATATTCACACCTAAAGATTTTATTTGTTCTAACTACTTTATTAATTAAATGTAAACATTTACATTCATATTAAATATTGTTCAAAGTGATTTCCTTCAGCATTAAGACAGGTTCGACATTGTGGTATTATAGCAAATGTACCAGTTTCTCTAAGACGTTGAAATGTGAAGCTAAAGATAGACCTGTTTGGTAATCGTCTATTCGGAAATCGCCTGGCATATTCACGACTGGCAGCATTATCTTTACCATTGCAAAAAACTGTATACAAACATCATATCGGCATGTTCACCATTAGTATAAATGGAAGGCATAATGATGAGTACTCTGCGAAAGCCTCTTACGAACTGATAAATGTTATTGAGAGTTCCCAATGCTAATTCCAAATAGTATTAATCCTTATGTTGTTAATAAGTTTTATTCAGTTATGGATAAAAGGCCATATTAGTATTCTATCTAATCCATATTAGTATTCTATCTAATCCATATTAGTATTCTATCTAATCCATCTCCTAAACAAAGCGTTTGTGGACATACCTTTACCTAGAACGAATAAATAGGTTTTATTTATATCATATAACATAAATAATTCATAACAATGAAAATCTTTAGTTGTGAATATCTTCTAAACAAAGCGTTTTCAGACTTACATTCAGAGGAAATTTTTTTCTTGTTTTGAGGTCCTTAGTTCATATTTTCAGTTTGGTCACTTAACCCTGAAACGCCATGTATAAAATTTAAAAAAATACCATTCATGTATAGAAAGTCACTTGCGAAACCGATAGCAGTTGGAAAAGGTTAGAGGCCTTCATGGACCCAATTTGCAGTCAGCCATAATAATAATGCAATGTAATGTCGAAAATGTTTTCTCTGATTTGCGATTCATACTGAAACAAAAAGACTACTGTGAAATTGATGAAGAACTCTAAAGAGAGAATTCGGACATGCTCATATAAAAATTAACACCATCTATTAGTTGTAATTTTACAAACATAAATAATAGATAGACAGGCTTTTACTCAATAAGAGGGTTGTAACGCCATCCAATAATTACATACACAAATATTTAATTATTTTTTTTAATGAATTGGGTAAACCATGGAATTTATATAAGTAAATTATATATATATATTTTTTTTCATTTAAAGCGGTATGAGTGCACTGCGGCCATGTAGGCCTATCGTACGCCTTTATTAAAGTCACTCCTGTTTAGAGCACTAGCGGATCCAGGATTTAATTTTGGGGGGCTTCAGCCCGAAGAATTTTTTTTTCATATATATATATAAAACGATAATTAAATTTAAAAAATAAAAAGAAAGACATTAACTACCCATATGACATGGTGTCTTAGTTATTCTTGAAGTCCTATTAAATGTAATCACATGAACAATAATAATTTAAGAGATAGTTTTAATATTTTTTTTCTATAAAACATGGTTATATTTTACCATTTTGGGAGGGGGCTTTAGCCCAAAAGCTCCCCTCCTCTTCCCCCCTCCCCCTCCTCCCGTAAATCCGCCTGTGGTTTAGAGCATAATTCCTATAGTCTCAATGAACTGTAATAAGCTTGTTGGGTTGATGAACTCGTTTGCCTTGGTCACCCTATCAATGCCAAATAATCGGAATCTTAGTCCAGCAAACCTGTCGCACCAACAAGTAATGTAATAAACTGTCTCATGTAAATTATGTTAACAATCTTGAAAGTTTAATTCATTTCAAAACTGACTTTTTTTTTGTGCCTGCATTATTATCATTAATTTGTGGTTAGCTTATACTTGTAGCACTTATGACCATCTTTTTTTTTTCAATTAAACCGGTTTATCCAAATTAGTCTTTTATCGGCCCCGTCTTATTAATGTTATCACCCAGCGCTTCTGTTTAATAAAATCATAACAAAGTATTTTTTTAACATTAATTATTTTGAAATAAGCTTCAGTAATTTATGTTAATGCTGTTGAACTGCGTAGGTACCTAGTGTACATTGTACATCTAATTATTGTAGTGATCTGATTTGCTTGAAAGGGATGAAGAAGAGGTAAGGAGATGCATTTCATTCCTTTCTAACTTTCTAACTTGCTCTAAACAATTGCATGTTTAACCTGCATGAGTTATATCCTAACACCGTATGCATCCGGTACAGAGGAATCACTGATATGACGTATTAGTCATTTATTTCTGTGACTTTAATAAACTTTAATGATAAAATAAAATCTTTTAGAACAGAAAAATTCTATTTACTTTTCATAATCTTTTGATTTTATGTACATATTAAAAGTCTGTTGCATTATCACTTTTGACTATCCGAAAGCTTTGAGCCACATGTGGATTGTGATTTTTGGAAAAAAAAAAAACATTCCACATGCCTCTGAGAGTTTGTGTCAAAACTGATGTTGCATCAAACTTGTTCATTATTATTTTGCCACAAATGAATGGGAATTTGCAATATTCATAAGTTTCCACATGCTTAAATTGTATACTATAATAAATTTTCATGACTATACATTTCTAAGCATAAAATAATATATGTATACCTATTCTATAATTTAATCTTATTTATTAATTCCATCAAATATCACTGATTTCTCTGTTTTCATATTTTCTGTTGTGTATATCATTATTATGTCCAGTATATACTATAAGATCATATATTTTTCAATGTATTTTATTGATTTGTTCCTTTGATTATGTTTATTATTATTTTTTATATGACAGTGCATCTATTAATATGTTTATTTGCCCATTGCATTATTTTTTTTATTCAATAATTCAATGTTTATGCAGTATAATATCAAATCTGGAGTTAAAAAACTGTCCAACTATCCAATGTATGCAAAGAAAGAAAGTTATTTTAATATCAAGGAGGAGTTGGTTGGGGTGAGCAGTCACAAATAAAATGGTAAAATAAATAAATTATATTTATTTTTATTTTTGCAGACATTTCAGTCCGAGATCTAGACCTTCATCAGGGCTGTGTTCTCACAAAGGGCTCCCCTACAAGACTTTAATTTGGTCTTGCGTAGAAGCCCTTTGTGAGACCACAGATCTGATGAAGGTCTGAACCTTGGTCCGAAACGTCGGAAAAAATAAAAATAAATATTATTTATTTATTTTACTTTTTTACTTGTGACTGCTCATCCTAACCAATTCCTCTTCATTATTTTCGTCGACTATTAATCCACTAGTAATATTAATATCAAGTGTTAATTTTTAATTATTTAATATTAAACATTTTCCATGAACTCATTATACATAATAAAGTAAGGTAATGTCATCTTGTTAAATCTAAATCTTGAACTGATAAGAGCTGCCTTTTTTGGTACGTAAATACTGATCTTTCATAAATCAAACACAAACATTCTCTAAAATGAAGTATCACAAGTTTTCAATACATTTAATCAATTCTTATAATTACAATAATCCTGTGAATAATAATGCTTAGGAAATAATTTATATATGTAATGTATTTTAGTATTTTTATTAATGTCAATTCTTGAGTTCGTTAGAAAGATGCTATGAACTAGAAGGACAGAAGACTGTCGGTTTAATCCTCATTTTTCGTTCTGACTACTAAACCCACTGGATTACTCTAGAAAAATAATTTCTTTTATAATATTAGTAATAATTTCAAGGAAAATAATTTAAAATTCACTCATTTTATTTTCTCTTGAATATAAATTCCAAGTCTGTTAACTCATTTTCAAATTTATTATTATTATATGAGAAGGAGTTGATCGGAGGGTGAAGGGGGGGGGGGAGTGCGGTCAAATAAATACTAAATTATAAAAATATTATTATTAATTTATTATGCCGACGTTTCGACCCACCTTGCAGATCTTCATCAGGGCTACAAAGGTTACAAAATATAAAAGGTACATGGTGAAAACAAAATAAATGAATGTTAAGCAGATATTAAATAAGAAACAGTTGTCTGATAAAGACTATTTAATATCTACTTAACATTCATTTATTTTATTTTCACCATTGTATCTTTTATATTTTTTATGTTTTGTAGCCCTGATGAAGACCTGCAAGGTGGGTCGAAACGTCGGCGTAATAAATTATTTATAATAATATTTTTATAGTTTAGTATTTATTTGATCACACCCCCCCCCCCCCTATTATTATAATATATTAATATTTTTAAATATTTTCAACATCATTTTTATTGATGAATTCTTGTGTTGTTTTTTTTGTAATATAAATAATAAAATAAAGTAATAATGATGATGAACTGGAAAATAAGCTTATAGGTTTAATATAAAATGTGTATTATTTAAAGGCTTCAAATTATTTTTCTTGAAATTATTATTAATATTATAAATAAAATAATATTACAATGCATCTTCTCAAACTATATAGTCACGTCCAGTTTTAAAAGTAGGAAATAACCACTTCTCCTGACGTCCTCCAGTGCCCAATGTCTGTCTCCAGAGTTTAGTTTCCAGCTCTTTTGGTTCAGGCCAAATTTGCCTTCTAGCTTGTTCAAAGAGCGTGGAACTGTGAAGGATGTGATCAGCTGTTTGTTCTTCTCTAACACAGTCACAAATTAAATTCCCTTAGAAAAATAATTTTAAAAATAATGCAAATCAAGGGCTTACATGGTTTTTAAAATCTAATTTAATTGTTTGATTTTTTTTCGCTTGTTTACAGTTTTCATTGGAATGTTGATTTTATTTCATTGTGTATTTTTATATTAAAATATATTGTTTCTTTTAGGTTTACTGGTACTGGGTTTTTTGTTTTACAAAAATTTAATTTTTGTATTAAAAATTAATTAATATATTTAGGTACATCCCTGTGGAAGGTATCGACACAACACAGTCGTCTTCATTCTTGCTAAAGAATACCAGTTGAAGAACCTGAGGACCATCCACAGGCTGGACAGATTGACGAGCGGTCTTCTTCTCTTCGGCAGGACCCCGAAGAAGGCGAGGCAGATGGAACACCAGATCAGGAACAGATTGGTGCAGAAGGAATACGTCTGTAGAGTTGACGGAGAATTCCCGAGGTAAAATTATGTGTTTTTCTTTGGTTTTTTATTTTACTTTCTTTTTTTTTTCATTTAACTTTTCTATTTCTGAAATGTATAGAAAGTAAATAAATTGAGATCTTGAATAAACAAGAATCAGAATTTTAAGCAGAATTACACATTTCGAGCTCTCCTCTAAGTCCAAATATCTGGGATTTTAGAACAACTTTTTCACAATAAATGGATTATTAGAAGTGGAACGTTATATGATTGCGTTTACACTTATTTACAATTTTCACAAAACGGCTCTAAAAATGTTGATTAAAATCATATAAATATACAATTACCTGTTTTTTAATATAAGGTTAGCCTTATCCTCATTGACATGACTTATATGTCAAATTTTCTAAATGGCATCCTCTGAAATACCTTTAATTTAGTTTATTTTAAATAAATAACAGTCTCTCTTGGTTAATAATTATTTGAAATGACTGAATATAAACTTTGGGAGAATCTGATAATCAAAAAGGAAAAAAAGAGAAACATTTTCTCAGGTTCAAAATAAATTTCCAGAAATAAGAGCAGTAATATTTATGTATAATACATCTTTTTAGAACAGTTTAGAAACATTAATATCTGTTACATATAAAATTGTATAAGGTTAAGGAGAGTGACAAAAACAATTAATGACGTTTAATTGTTGTTTATAATGTCTGATTTTATAATATCAAATGGGAAATAAATTTTATATAAATAAAAAATAGATCTTGATAAACCAAAAATATGAAATGCACAGATTTGTCATAATTTATATTAATTGATCTAAGTTTCTATTAATATCCTTAAGGTTTATTAATTAATCTTCAAAATTAATTTTTACTTAAAGTAGGGTTGTATGTGAAAGTTGTGTGGTCATCACACCAAATTGTAGTAGACAGCCCCCTGTATTTACTCCTTTATGTGACATTGTGTGAGGGAATGAGAAGAAATATATAGGAATATGAGTTTGCACGATGAATCGTACTCAATTGTGCAGTGGACAAATTGTTCATTGGAAAATCTCATATCGATAAAGAAGGAAAAAGGTCCGGTCAGGTAGCAGCAGCTGGAAGAGGACGCCAGGCACTTCAGGTTGGACATTGAGGCGGAACAAGATACCTGGGAAGAGAGTCTACTACAAGATTTAGAAGATCATGTCTATAGTTATAACCCTTTAATAGAGTCAATTTATTACAGTTGTAGAAATAAATCATTTTGTTACACAGGAGGGAAAAGTCATTTATTTATTTAGTTGTCCTATATGCCTCACGATTGAAGAATAACAAACCAGGTGAGTCAATTCATTCAAAGTGTATTTACTCAGTGTCACAAAATGTATTAGATTCCCGAATTCCCAACAACAGTTAAACACCCTCAAAAAGTCTATATCCAGTACCGGAGTTTTGTTTTAATAATTCACAAGTGTAAATAACCTAAGTTCCCCGATATAAAATCGGAAGGCTATTCCCGCCAAAACTAATCATTTAAAATTAACTTTTAGTAGGTTATTTACAGAATGTTTTATTTTATATTGATTATTTCTTATAAATTTGAAGTATTAATTAGTTTTTTTTTATTTTTAGTGAAGTTGTGGAGTGTTCAGAACCTATCGAAGTTGTAAGCTACAAAATCGGTGTATGTAAAGTGAGTTCAAAAGGAAAAGAGTGTACGACTACTTTCACAAAAATTGGTTATAACCCCGTGACCAAAACGAGCGTCGTCTTGTGCCAGCCTCATTCAGGTCGAATGCATCAAATTCGAGTCCATCTGCAGTATCTTGGTAAGTAATCTTTGTCTTAATTTAATTTTTCACTATTTTATTTTATTAATGTTGATTTCTCACTACTGAATATATTTATATGGGGGACTTAAAAAAATATTTTTATTTGCTCAGAATCGAATGTTTTTTTTTTTTTTATATTTTGGGCATCAAGGAACAACTTTGGTTGCGTATCTGTATGGCGGGCATATCACCTACAACCGTTGTTCCTATTTCGAGACATTTTTAGGGATTGTGCAGGTTGGTACCTAAATGGTTCCACTTCCTAATCTACATATGTATTTGTTACATTTATATATCCAAAATGGCTCGTTTCATTAGCCCCAAAGTTGGAGAGAAGTTATATAATAGTGAAAAAAAAAGAAAAAAAGATTCTATATCAATTTTATCAAATTCCATTTTTATCATTTTCTTTCTATTAATTATTAACCAATTATTCATTTTAAAGGTTACCCAGTCGTCAACGATCCTTTGTACAACCATGAAGTATTTGGACCTGAGAGAGGCAAAGGAGGAAATATCGGTAAGACCGACGAGGAATTGATTAGAGATCTGATCCGTATTCATAACGCTGAAAACTGGCTTGGTATCGATGGTGATTCCGATCTCTTCAAGCCTTTGCTCAACATGGATGACGAAGAGAAGGGTAAGTTATTCTTTCACCAGCCAAATCAATTATTGACATTTAATTTTATTAATATTTCTAAACCTTGAAGAACGATTTAAGAAAATTTTTCGAGTATAATTGACCAATTTTTTATAATTCTTTTTACCATTCCTATTTTAATATATAGATAGATAGATAGATAGATAGATATTTTATTTGTTTTAAGGGGGTTCCCCATACAAATAGAGCCTAGCTTGGCTATTGTACAATAATATGGTTTTACAAATTTACATACATATAATTTAAATATAAATAAAATTTACAATATTTAACGTTTAGAATGGTTTTCACAAAAAATGAATAACCATAAAAATTAAAAACATAAAACGATTACTGCATAATAGTAGTTATATGAACCAGTTACTATGATAGAAACAATAAAAATATTTATAAATATAAACAAAATATTACTCTGAACATAAACTAAAAACAAATGCTTAATAGAACATGGCTATGAACAACAATTTTGTGTATGCACTTTGTGTACTCCCATCATATAATAGTAAACTTTATTTAATTTTTCTATACAATCGATATTCAGTATGGATTCGACTTTGCGGTTATCAGAAGATTCTGAGATGAAGTTTTCACATTTTAATATATACAGATATAAAATCACATTTTTATTTTATGTTAGAAGTTTTAAAATTTATGATATTTACATGGATAAATCAGTGTTGAGCCGAAAGTATTTTTTATTACAATTACTTACCAATTATTATTTGGAATCGTAGAAAATACGAATTCAATAACCCATATAGTTGTACTCTATAATTATGATTACTAGTTGAACTAATGTAATTACAATGCAATTATGAACTGTAATTTAATGTAATTGTATTCCTATAGTTAAGGAATTTGAATTAGTAACTGCAATGACACTACACTTGAATAGCTCTAAAAAAAAGACAACTCAGTGGAAATGGATTAAATAACGAAAAACCTGAGTTAAGAATTAAACATATGGTAGTTTAATTTCAAAGAATTGTAATTGAAAAGATTAATTACAAATATTCAACATGTTCTCTGTAATATTGAATTAAACATCCATTTAAAATATATCCATTTAATGGATAAAATTATACATGTTTTATCATTTGGTGTATAATTTTATTATTATTTATTAACCAATCAAAAATGTTGCATTTTTGAATGGAAAAATGTTGGGTAATTATTTAATAGGGGGTAGCGTCCGACTGCTATCTGCCAATGTTTATAACCTTAACACTGATAAGCTCTTCGTTTTCATGTTTATTGTATTATATTCATATTATTATATCTTCGTATTCATATTTATTGTATTGTATTGATATTATAGAAATTGTGAACAAAAACAAGAATAAATGTAATAATAAAAAAATACTTTTATTTTAAAACATATATATTAAAATAGACCAAAACATTATAAATATATAATTAAAAAACATTACGAAAATATTGCAACATATATATCAAAATAAATGAAATAATAAAAATAGGCAAACTATCCCGGCGTCTTGAAAATATTTTATAGCCTCTTCTTCTGAAGACGGCAGTTCGCACAATGTAACGGCATCCATAATTAAATAAGACTAACTCACAGCTAACACAAGAAACAAAAAATAAACAAGGGAATAACTTAGGTTAGATTAGATAAGGGAGGTTATGTGAAATGAGATTAGATAACAAGGGAGGTTTTGACGCTACCCGCTATTAAATAAGTACCAAATGTTGCAACAAATCATTGCAAATTTCTTTGCAATGAGAAAATTTTTTGGCAGCTTCGCAGCTCTCACCACGTCCGGGGTATAAATCAGATCAGCAGGTCTCTTAGCCAACGCCTACATAATCGCCGTGGTGGACTGTAGGGATTTCTTATACATTGAAGGATTTCTGTCAGAGAATTCATGTTGTATGTCAGTCTTTGGTGAAAGTTATTGTAGTTTTCTTTTGTAGTATCTAAAATTGATAGTACTTTTCAGTCTTTATGTAGTATATCCTTTGCAACATTGAACTTTATGCATCAATTCTATCCTTCACAACACTTTTGACTGGAAGGACTGAATTTTTTTAATGTTGGAAGTTTTAACTGAATCCCACAGTTCTATGTTGTAAGTCCAAATTGGTTTAAGTAAAACTTTATAAAGGGTTAGTTTGTTAGTTAAAGATAATTGTGAACGTCTGTCAAGTAATCTGGATAAAAGACCGTATCATTTTTAAAAATAAAGTCATTTTCAATGAAGAAATTTTGCCTATTAAAAAAAAAAAACAAGGTGCATTGATTTAGTATATTTATTTTGTCAGTGAATTATAGATAATCTTGTTTTCATGCATAATTATATACTTAAATTAAAACAAAAAATTAAAAAGTTTAAATAGTTTTTATTTAAAAGTAAATTTACTTGATTTGGAAGCTCATATATGCACTCGATTAAAAAAAAATTTTGCATGGAAAAATTAATCTTTTTTTCTTTGTTAATAAGTATAATAATTGGCATTTTTTAAAAATTAATTATATAAACTCTTGAGTTGTTTATAATTTTTATTCACTTGAGTCACTATAACTTCTATAAATATGATGATAAATAAAATTAATTTCATAGATGCATTTACCCAGTAGTCTTTTTGAAGTAAGCAAATATCCTTTCCCAGCCGACACCTCTCTTCAATGGACAAATCAATCGGATCCTCCATTGTTCATTGTGTAAAGTTTTCACATACTCGTACTTATTTTTGAATGAATAAAATTTTAATTAATATAATTTCTTGCAAACAAAAATATTTGTTAACTTTTTTTTTTTTTTTAAATGAAATTTACAACTGTATTACATAGAAAATACAATAAGTAAATGTGACATTGGTAACATGACATGTACAACATGAAGAGAAACTACCCATTGGTAGAACTTAAATTAAAGTTCTATATTAGAAGATCCCGAGGCCATCTTCTCTTCAGATGCCTCGGAGGGTTATCAGGGGTCGAGGAGGAAGCATGGTTAGAAATGAGAGGGTTCGGATGGTTCTACAGTTTATTATGGAAGGATAGGTATCTAGATTGGGCTAAATCGGAAACATGTGGTACATTAAGGTCGTTATGGATGATTTTATTTGTGACAAAGTAAGGAGTGTTGAGGATTTTACAAAGGATTTTGGATTGTAAGGATTGGATACGAGAAGAATTTGATGGTTTAGTGGAGCCCCAAAGCTCAATCCCGTAATTCCAAATAGGTCTTATTATTGTCATATATATGAGTCTTTTGTAATTGATTGAAAGCTTAGAGCGTTTGTCTAGTAAGTGCTGCAGTAGTCAAAAACGTCGGGCGGTTTCTAGTCGTTTCAGTCTGGTATGAGGATTCAAAGTGAGTCGTTTGTCAAGGTGTAGTCCTAAGTATCAGATTTATTTGTTAAATTACAGTTATTAAAGCATGATTGAAGAAAATGGTAGTATGCCTTTTTATTCATTATAATATTAACTAACAAACCTAGAAATAAGTGTATTGGGAATGGAAAAACTTGTCTGGAAATTTCTTATTAATTTTTTTATTTTTAATTCTAATCTTATTTTAGGTGGTAGTAGGGAAGCATCGCCCTGTGAATCATTACCGACGAGAGAAGACAAACTCTCCGTCACAGAGAACTCTGAGAAAGTTATATCAGCTGTTCCTGCAGTCGCAGAGGGCAAGGTGACGGTCGCCACTCAGACCGGGCACGATGCTCCCGACCTCGCCTTCCAGCCTGAGAAGATGACTACCGACCCGCATTGCTATGAGTGTAAAGTCAGGTACAGGGACCCCAAACCGAAGGATTTGGTTATGTACCTGCATGCTTGGAAATACCAGGTGAGATCTCTCTTTCTTAACAATTTTCTAACTAGAATATCAAGAATTTCCTGATATAGAACTGTATTTCAACTCCCACCCTCTCCCCTACCAAAAAAAAAAAAACAATAATAAATATGCTGGAATTGATTATAACTTGTATACCTTTACAGGAACTCCCAAATTCAACATTTATCTTCTTCCTAGTACATTTAAGGAAAATATTTTTATTCACATAAAGAATATGTTATTATCTTTTGCTTATTAAAAGTGGAGTATAGAAATCAAACCCAGATAAGAACTAAACCAAATCTATGGCGATATTAATAACCAAGGGAATTAAAACATGTTATGTTAACAAGCCATGTTTATTTTTATTAATTTATCCAAGATACCCCAAGGATTTCAAAACTATTCTCCTTTTCAACTATTGTATTTACTTTTTCAATAGATTTTAAGTTTGTCTTAGACAATAATTAGTAGAAATGCTTATTTTTATTTTAAACCCAAATGAGATGTCCTTGGTTTCAAATGGCAACCATTGCATCTTGGATTGGTTACATTTTAGAGTTTTAAAACGCAGGATACAGTACCAGGTGTTGATGTCTGCATCAAAATATTTAAAACATAAAATGTTTTATCAACTTATCAATCTTACATTTTTGAAATATCCTGCTTTTTTCAATGATTTTTAATAATGTTATAATGTAAATTATGAACTGAAATTGGTATTTGTCATTTACGAATCCATCACTCTTTTGAATGCTGGAAAGGAGGTAATTTAGATTGTATTTTAAGTAGCTTAGGTTCTTTTAAAGAATTAATACAAAACTGCATTAACAATTGAGTGGTATTATATAAAAAATGGACATATTTCATTTTCAAGAGAGGAGAAAAAGTCATTTTTTGTTTTATAGATTCGATAAGGAGGCAGATTTAACCTCGACTGGGCCAAGTTTGTTAAGGTTTTAACTTCACTTCAAACTATATATATGTTGTTATATTGATTTATGTATTAAATGTATTCTATTTTATAATGATTTGATAGTTAAAATAGAACTGGACATAAGCAAGCTATTGAACATGTCTGGCAATGGAAACAGTAATTTTGTCTAGTTTTATTTTTTTTTTATTTGAGATTGTCTAAATCATTATATAATCAAACATTCGTTACTGTTAAAAATACGCAGTTTTATTTTTGTTTTTAAACAATCTAATCCCAATTCTTTTTCTTAAATTTCTATTCCAGCTTTAATAAAAGTAATTGAAAATATTATGTTTCAAAACTATGGATAAGTTGATGGATGGATACAGGACCAATTACATTTTAAAGATTTGACACGAACATCATTAGCTGGTTAAGTCTCTGTCATAATGGGTCCTAATATGGATGATTTTAACTATTTTTTCTTGGTTCGTGAATAAGGATCATTTTTGAAAATAATAATCTAAAAATAACAATTTTGTTTTCTTATTATTTCCATATGACTTGTATATTATTAATTGTTTTGTTTAATGTTATATAAATATATTGACAATATTTTTGTTATTTCTAGGGTCCAGGGTGGTTTTACCAGACGGAATTGCCGGATTGGGCACGCGTTGATTGGGTAGATCCTGAAGACTGAAGAGATAGAAAGAGGAGTGTTAATACAACACGCGAGAACCAGGTCCCGATCTCACTCAATGTTAAATAAATCTCTTCCTCTTAAGTCAGAGCTTTACTTGGTTTCGTAACCAAGTGTTGTGGCCTTCAAGTAGTCAATTCAGTTCAAATGACACAGGAAATGGGAAAAGCAAAAATATTGTTTTTCCGCGTTAATATTTTCTGCTTAGAAATATTAACTGTCCATCAAGGCTCGAATCATGATTTTCACTTATACAATAACATCTAAAGTCATTTGAAAACCTCTGAAGGTAAATAATAAAGACAATCAATTTAAATTTGCTGCTTATATAAAAAAAAAAATATATTGGCTATTTAACGTTAACTTTTATTAATCATAAAATTATAAATGGTATATTTGTTCTACGTTTCGCTTAATAATCAGTGTATATATATACGTAAGTGAGCCTATATGGACAGCTAAGCTTCTATATGTTTCATACTATGTATAAATATGTATACATATTTTTATTTATATAAATTTAATAATAGTTTGTTTTATTTCCCAAGAACTACTTTATAAAGTTCTTGTTAGTGCTTTGTTAGTAGATTTGCTAGGCCTGGGTTCTCTTCTTGGTTAGTGATAGTTCGAATTTGGTTATTGTGTAGCTGTAAGTTAAAATTTTTAATTAAAATTTGTTTTAGTTTTTAAATGAAGACGGTGAATTTGTATTGTCTCATCAAGGTGAAAATGCTTATACAATCCTCTAGTCATGATAAAGTTGTCAATAGTATTTCGCTTGCGTTTTAATTTTTAATGTTGAATATTAAAACAAAAATAATACTCAATTCTAATTTTTTTTTTTAATTCTTATTTTATACTAAAATGACATAAATTATATAGGAATAGTCGATACTAGTGCGGAAGCACTACTCCAGGACAGCAGCTAGTTTCAAGATCACTAAAAGGACTGTAAATGAAATTCTGAAACAACCCGAGTGTCTAAAAGACGATTTAGATATTTCTTTTTATATATCTAATTCTTTTTAGTATTCTATGAACAAGGAGTTAAATAATACGAATTTAACTAATATTTTTACTAATTGACATTAATTAAGCATAAACAAGATACTTAATTATCATAATATATCCTGATCGTATATTGTTCAAATTCTATATTTTATACCTCTACTGGCCGGAGACTCTTTTATCCAGGGGAGAAAGAGTAAGCGTAAACACATTCACTTTCTTATTTTAATAGTCCTGATCTGATTTTATGTAATTTGTTTCTGTTTGCCGCCTAAACTAAATCTCCTTTCTTATTTCGTTTAAAAATTCTTTGCGATTTCATGAAACTTCTTCTGTCTATCTTCAAGTCATATTCTCTTTTTCAATAGAATAAGTATCACTTCTATCTGTCCATAAGTAAACAGAAGACCCTCCTTGGGCACATCCAGCCTCTATAAAATGGGGGTTGAGTGTGAGCTCAGTCAAGCCACCTGTTTGCACAATATAATTATACTTCCTTACAAAGTACTGAACCCAAGACTCTTCATGGGTTTTAGTTGTCCAGTTTTTTTTAAAATAATCAATATACAGTTGAAATTCTTAATTCAATTCTCCTAAGAAATAATTACCGAAAAAGTCATAATTTTTATGTCGCTGACCTACGATAATCCCCTTTGCTCTTCAGTAAATCGCTTCCAGTCCATTTTAGGCAAAAATATGTCAAAAGGGCAAGCCTTTCATTATATCTTAACATGGTTGTAAATACTCTGTTACTTTGGGAATTCACTCCTGAAGAGTATTCAACGGTGATTTTGAAATCAGCAGCCATTTTGGAGTAGTGATTCGGAACTAGTATACCAGTGTTGAAATAAATTAATTAAAAAACAAAATCATGAATGATAATAATAGAGTCAAATAATAAAATATCAAATCACATTCTTGAGTGTTATATCATTTTTTTTTTTAGCATTTAAAATTTTAAAGGGATTGATAAATTTTACATCCTTGAACAATTTTTTTTCCTTTGAAATTTGAAAAAGGAAGAGACATATCATTGACACCAAATTAATTTTGGTTTTGCATGCTGTATTTTATAATATTATGTATTGAAAATTAAATAAATTATATATGTAAAAAAGAAAAAAAAAAGGTGGTGTAAATGTTTCTTATCGATGTTACGAGCTATGTATATAGCTTCAAGGAAACGAATTTCACCTCACCGCTATTTTAGTATTTGGAAGGATTTTCCCTTCATCCGAGCTTAGTTTATTATAATCTAGGTCCAAGCCATCGCGGATGGCGATTCTTTTACCATTTTACTTGGCCCATTTTAGTCAAGGAAAAGACACTATTATCTTAGAATGTATGTCATTAATGTATAATATTGTTTTTAAAATAAAAATTGTTTGTTTTGTTTGGTTTAATTTGGTGTGCTATTACAATGGTCGAGATTTCCTCAGATTTTGAAAAAAGTGTATTATTTCACAATTTTTATAAACTTTAAAACCAAGTGTTTGTTTATCCTACAACTAGAATATTTAAAGATTTAGTTGGGAAGTTGCATTTTTATCATTTGGATTATTTAGTAAATTTTATTTTATTATTTTAGTACCATATTTTATTTTGAGGTATTGGTTAAAGATTTGGACCCATGAATTTCAGTTATTGAACTAACTTTTACTTAGTTTTATCTTCTTTTTTTTTTTTATTAAATTAATATTTTATATATTTACAATTGTTCTCGAGGCACCAATTGTCATTTAGTAAAGTATTGGTTTTTACATAGTCTATTAACTAACAATGAAAATCTTGGATTACTTCTAAATATTTCAATTTTAACCATCCAGAAGGGAATATCTCTATTTCTTTATTTTTATAATTATCGACATCCAAAAACATTATAATATAATATTAAATATAGCAAGTAATGAATTTTCAATAAATAAGTGTAAAAATTGGTATACAGACTTGAAAATGGATCCAGAAAGCTAAAACCTCGTACTAAAACAGGGTGGCAACCGATCTCGAATGGGAAAAGTCAGAGAATTTTCAAAATAGGAAAAAATCAGGGATTTTTTTAAGTACATAAATATTTTTTTCAAATTGAAAATCAATAACAGTAGATATCGTTTATAATGAGCCTTGAAGGGGTAAATTTCATTGTTATAAAAACAACCATGGTATTCATCCACCTTTGACTGTAAATAACGGCACTGGTCGTTATATTGAAATTAAACTACCCTTGTTGAATAACATTTAAGCAAAATGAACCTGAAACAGTGTTTTTTTGAAAATAAAAACATAACAACATTATTTACTATTTCTTATATATTCTATATTAGATCTGGCAAGCACTCATTTGTCCGACCCGCAGTGTTCCTCAAAAGTCCATTTATTAACCATAAATTGAACGGTTGATGTCATATGGATAATTATTATGCTGTTTATAGTAATAAAGAAACTACATTAATATTATAATCCGCTGTAGCTCACTTTATTTTATAATAGAGAAAATCAGATCTTTATATGTCAAATATCAACTTCTACCTCCTCTCAGTTTATGAAAATTAAATAAATTACTAAAAGTTTAGTTTTCTTAAATAAAAAATCCTAATCAAGCTTAAAAAATGTTTTTACTCACATCATTTTGTAGTAAATTTTCTTTCATGTATAATAAATAAATTTAGTTATAAATTGAACATTTTTAATACTTGTATCTGCAGGCATATTGGTCGGAGAAAACTATCATAAAATAGGGAAATGTCAGGAAATTTTACTTTAATTGTTTGTTAGCCACCCTATAATATTAAATAAAGCAAGTAATGAATTTCAATAAATAACTGTAAAAATTGCTATACAGACTTGAAAATGGATCCATAGAAAGCTGAAACCTCGTACTAAAATAAATTGAAACAACACTTTATTAGTGACTATTGGTATTTAATTTTTAATGGTATGAAGAAATCTCGATGAGTATAATAGTATACCAGAGTTGATGTTAAGTTGGAATGAGTCCTAAATGTTAGTAGTTGTTTGTCAGTATTAATTAATTATATAATAATAATAATTATAATAATTAATTATATAAATTTGTGAAAAATGTTGGGTGGGGAGGCTGGAGAAACTCCTATGAACCCCATTGTGCCTTCCTGTAGCCCAAACGAGAAAATTTTGTTTTTCTAAATTTTCATCACTTTTATTATATAAAGGACGTTCGTTCTCTTTGGGCTTCAAATGCTTTTCACATTATCAGAGTGCGTGACAGATTTAAATTATTTTGAAAATAGAATCTATATATTACGTGTATATCGTTCATTAATAAACATAATAAAAACCAACAAAAAAAAAACACATAAATAAATCAAAAATACAATTTAAAAAAAAAATACACTTAAGAAAATATTTTTAAATATGATAATTTTAAATGTGAATATATTTGTGGATGTTTGGAATATGAAAGGTTGTTTATAAGTAGTAAAATAAAAATAAGAAAAAAAAAATTCTATTACGAACCAATGTGTGTTTGATTACCAGTAAACGACTAGTCAAAGCTGACTCTTAGGCTAACCGACCCATTGGCTTCTATAGAATGGAGTGTTCATGTTCATATTCGATGGAGTAGTTATGCACATAATAATGTTATTTAATATATAATTTTTTATGACAATAAAACATTCTATTCCCTGATGAAAGCAAAGACATTATGTAACATGTGATTTATAATGGCAAAAGTTTGCCGTATTGTTTTTTGATATAATTTTATTTCTTGTGTAGTTTTACAAAACCATTTCAAATAAAATGTTATCATATCACATATCAAAATTGCGATTTTATCGATAATTTTATATTAGAATTACATTTTAAAAGAATTTAGTGTGTTCTCTTCTTCCTAAAAAATCATTGTGATTTATGTAATTTTTTTTTTTTTTGTTCTCTTTATTGCTCATTTTTATTGTGCTGTACAATATTTATCTTGTTAATGTTAGCTAATTTTTTTTTGCACAATGTAATTTATACATTGTTTTAATTCTTCAAATGGATTGTTTATTTATGAATACGTTAAGATGTAGCTAAATTTGTGACAATAATAAAATAGTGAGTTTAAAACTTGTTGATTTGTATTTGTCATAATTATTTAAATTTTAATTATAAATTTGATTTTTATTTCATTATTATTGAAGTAGGGAAGACAAATTATTAGTGTACTCAAGCTTAATGTTATGCTTGTGATAAACGAAAGGGAATCTGAATTAGCCCCGTTTCTGATTTTGATGTTGATTCATGTTTGTAGTTTTATTGTATTTGTAATTAGTGCTGGGACCGTTAAATGCTTATTTTATTTTTTTGAATTATGTAGTCTTATAAGTAAAATTCATTTCACCTGTGTATATAATATAAATATGTCAAAAGATGTAATTATGTATTCGGGTGCAAATGCCTAGTTTTGTTTTATAAAATTTGAACTGTTTACATAATTTTAATTGCATAAGTAAATAGACATATTTACCTTTTATTGTAGTTTTTTTATACCTGTTATGCCAACATTTCATATTGTTTCTAGGGAATATCTTTAGACGAGTGATTTACAACATGGATAATATACTCTTGCAACTGTTTACTGCAGTACAATGTACAAGCTTAGTACAAGGAAGCCTCAAGATGTGAGGATCTTCTGTATTCTAATCTTTACAGATTCACACACACACTGGAAGACTTTCAATCATAACATGAATTTATAAATAACAAATATAGGAATATTTATAATATAGTAAGAAAATACTTATCATATCTTCTTTAGCTTTCATGTGTTAAAATAAAGAGTCTTAACTACCATTATAAGTAATTATCTTTAATATGAGTAATTTTAACTAAAAATAATTTTAGGTAGGATGCTTAAAAGTGAAAAAGTCTGGAGATATTTGAATTTACCTAAAGTAGAAGAAAAGAGTAAAGAATATTATATAGATGAAAAATTATGATTAGGTGGCGCGACCTAGCCTGTTACTACTATAACTAAATCGGGTTTTGTGCTGCGCGATCTATCGGTAAATACAGTAACTAACTCTTATTTATACTTAAGTAGCGCGATCTACCGTTTAAACACAGTAACTAACTGGAATTTCCTTAAGCGAGGCGTTGAATTTTTTCTCATTCACATGGAATTTAATAAAGAGAAGAAAAACTAAATTTAATTCACAACTGTCATTCAGACTTCACTGAAAACCATTGAATGTGATATTACAATAAATAAATTACAAGAAAGGTATATATATATATATATATATATATATATATATATATATTATATATATATATATATATATATATATATATATATATATATATATATATATATATATAAGCATGAGGAAGAGAATTACCCTGTGGCTAAGTCCTATTTCTTGTTGTTCAAGTAATGTTGCAATCCAAATTAAAATGTTAAAAAGAAAGAAAACCCCTGGTTATGACTTAATAAATGCTGAAGTGCTCCAGCAGATGCCCAGGAAAGCTCTGGTGTTTCTAACTGCCATATTTAATTCTATACTGAGGACTGCCAAATTTCCTATTCAATGGAAGTATTCATACATATCCATGATATATAAGCCAGGTAAAGAAATTTCTTCCCCTTCAGCTTATAGACCTATCAGTCTACTTCCTACTTGTGCCAAAATATTTGAAAAATTACTATATAACAGACTCCACACATTATTAACAGAGCAAAAAATTGTACCCGATCATCAATTTGGATTTAGATCATTACATTCTACCACTCAACAGTTACACAGTGTCACAGATTACATAGCAACAGCACTAGAGCAAAAGATGTATGCTACTGGTGTATTTATGGATGTTGCTGAGGCATTTGACAGGGTCTGGCACCAGGGACTTCTTTATAAACTTAACAAAATACTTCCTTCCACTTACTATCTTATATTACAATCATTCCTCTCTGATAGATTTTTCTCTGTTCGACAAGGCTCTGAAATCTCAACAATCTGACCAATTCTGGCCGGAGTGCCCCAGGGATCAATTCTTGCACCACTGCTTTACATAATTTACACATATGACATTCCCCTCTCCAGTGACACTTTGATATCCACCTATGCTGATGACACTACTATTATCACAAGGCACAATGACCCCACACATGCTTCATATACTTTACAAAATCACTTGCAAATCTTACACAACTGGTACAAACTTTGGAAAATAAAACTAAATCACAACAAATCCCAACACATAACATTTTCACTCCGACATGAAAACTGCCCTCCTGTCTTTCTCGACAATGAACATCTCCCCCAATCTGACAAAGTACATTATCTAGGCCTAACATTTGACACAAGGATGACATGGGGCCCACACATCACTGCTAAGCGAAATACACTAAATCAACGATTTAGACTATTATATTCCCTACTGGGACGTCGCTCAAAACTAAAGCTAAGACAAAAACTTAATACTTACACTTACTTACTAAAACCACTTTAGACATACTCATCACAAATATACGGAATTGCCAAAAAAAAACTCACATTCAGAAATTACAAATATTTCAGGCCAAAACCTTCAGAACAATTACTCAAGCACCTTGGTATGTCAGTAACATAACTCTCCACAAAGACTTACACATGCAAACTGTCACAGAACATATACAAACTTATTACAAAATTGGGTTGCCCAGCTCTGATTAGATGCACACCATGTTTCTATATAAATTTAACCTTTGATTTAAATAGATAAAATGGGAGGGTAGTAACAATAAATCAATTATGTTCATATTATTTTTATTTGAGAATAATGAATTGATTTTTTTACATTTAAGCAGATAATAAACTTAACTTTATTCATTGGTACCAAATTTCTAACCATTTTCAAACATTTAAAACTAAATAATTATAATGAGCACAAAATTAAAAATTAAATAATACTAGTTATCAATAATATATTTACATTAACTTAAAACTAAATTTTTTTTTTTGTTCTTATAAAAGTACTGTCAATGGCTATAAAACTTTATTTTCTAGGAAACATTTTTCTTTATAGTTTTCCCCGAATAGCCATTTTGCAATGAATTTTTCATATTATGAAAAACAATAATAATGATAATCATTTTAAATCTTCAGTAAAATATATTTTTGCTTTGTAGATTTTTCCAAATGGTTTTTTTTTTTGTTTCTTTTTTTACAATGAATATTCCATACTATGAACGAATTAATCACTTAAAATATTAATGTATTTAACATTATCACTAATGTAATACTCTACAATTTGAAACTAATTCAATCAGTATTGAAAAGAGTTTCTAATCATAAAAATAAATTAATAAAGTAACTATTTTCCTTATAACAGTTCTTATGATTAATTGATGAGGTAAGAACAAAATTAAATTCTACCACAGCCTTAGCTTTGTTTTTTAAGTATTAACATGACAAAAATATACATCAATACAATGTAGATTTCAGGTATGAACAAAGTATTTATTTAAACCTGCTTAAACTAAGTTTTATATATAAGGTACAAAAAAATAAACTTTCATAAATACAAATGCTAACTACTGAGATCCAATGCACAAACAAAAAAAAAAACAAACATAAATATATGATTTCCAAAAATTATGAAAATTCATAATTTCTCAAGCTTTTAGACAGGAACATTAAACAGATTTACATCTTGAAGTTTTCCCTGTTCTTAGAAGATTGAATCACCTGAAATTTAAACCAAAAAATTAATAAAAATATGTATGTATGTTATATGTAGTCATGATAATTTTTTTAAATATGTTTTATGATTAAATGAGTAACTTCACAATTTGTTGATTTTTTTTATCTTTGTAGAAGATAGAATATTTTTTCCAAGTTTTAAACTTTGCTCAAGTTTTCAGAGATAACCATGCAGAAAAAAAGAAATTCAAATGGAATTGTTAGTTCCTGACATTAGTACGTTCAAACTCAAAAACGCCTTAGTGTAAATAGAGAATAATTCATGCTTTAAAAATAATTCACTTATATCTATGTTTAATTGATATTATTTATAATTTGTATTTAAAGAAATATAACTACTTACTCATAAGTCCTTTTCAGTCTTCACATTTAAATTGTCATCCGATGAATCATGATTAATATTCAATGAATAAATATCAAACTTTTTCCAATCTAAAATTAAATAAATATATTATATAACCATTTCAACATTCCTTATAAATGACTTAAAATTATCCATACATATATTATTAAAGTATGGCTTGAAATAGGTTTTGTACCAAATATAAGCTCCTGTCATGCTCAAATATCATGAATGGGGTATCGTTGGGTTCAAAATTTCACGGGGGTTATCGAATTGTATTCTCCACTTTTATTTATCTACTTTTATTTATCTTTCTAAAATAAATAAAGTCGACATAAACATTTTGCTGGGCTTCAAAACTGGAATGGTGGTAAGTCTGTAGTATGGGGCAAATTAGGCTTTGAAGATTTTGATGCGTATACTAAGATCCAGATAGTTCATTTGAAAATATCAGGCTCTGTATTCTTAAGCCCAAAAATATACTATTTTTGAGATAATGAAAGACAAAAAGGTTCACATCCACACAACCTTAACGTTAATTGTAGTACTGTCATGGAATACATGTGTCACTTTGTCGACTTGAGGTCTCTATGATCAAGAGAGGAGGAGTTTATATAATTTATCAAAGATGTTTTTTTTGTGAGTAAGCCATATCATCGTTAATTCTTCATCAAATTACAAGATTGAACTACCAATTTTGAAGGTTTCCTTCTCCTTCAGGTAGAAAATATAGTCCAATCACCTCGAAAATTCAGGCAAAAAAGTTATGACAGAAAAGAAACTTTATTTGCGAATAACTAAAAAATTAAACACTTTTCCTTTGGTTATGTCCATAATTATATAAAAGATTACTAAATTCCCTACAAAAGGAAAAACAAAATCATCGAAATCGGATAATTATTAGCAAAAATGCTGTTTATTGAAATTTATAAACATGATGATTCCAACCATTAAAGAAGTTTTAAATTAATTTTTGTTTACTTTGTCGATTATATTTAGCAAGAAAGTAACGATTTATTTCTCTATCTTATAATATGTTGCATTGTATTATTTTTTTAATAATTTAATAATCACTAAACAGCATACTGTTCAAATTTTTCGCACAGGCCTAGCCTACTAGTGTAAATAATATTGCTACTGTTAGTGCAAACAATTAACAATTTTTTATGTTAATTCTATTTGTGCTAAAGCGGATATTTTGTAGTCTGTAACTGCAATAAATAGTATAGCTACCATAAAAAATAGTTTAGGGAAATAAAATATGAAATTATATTAATAAATCATAAGGATATAATCAGTTTTTATGCTCTATTGTAAAAAAAAACTCAATTTTCAAATATGATATTTTTGCACTAACAGTAGCGATATAGATATAATTTAAATTTTGCCAATGAAAATTGAAAGAAGGTGTTTTTAAAATATTGAAAGAACGCAATAATTAAAAGAAAAATTTGTACAAAAAACATGAAATAAAAAAAATAACCTGTACATCTAGAACCCATAGACGGTCAGGGTCTTGGATTGAATACTTTGTAAGGAAATAATGTTCCTTAGTCAGTGATAATGCAAGGTTGTGCAGATTTGAACGAGATATCAAAGGTCATATCGTAGGTTAAGTACGATAGATCTCTTTACTGTACTGCGTTCTCAAAACTCATGTTGTGTACGAGATACAAGTAATGTTTAGTTCATAAATTAGGAAGCATGGTGAATTTGAGAAGGCTGCACTTGTCTTGTTTTGGTAGATAACAACATAAATGAATTTTAAAACTTAGGTAAACCATTTCCATGGGAATTATAGGTTAATAATATAAACAAATTTTTATAAGTTTCAAAGGAAACAGCCTTATTTAGACCTTTTAAGTGATATTTTTTTAAATTAATATTTTGGAAGCCTAATTTATATATACAAAGTCAGTTTATACCGAAAAGTCACTCAAAACATTTTTGATGAAGCTAATCTTTTAGGTACATTTTTGTATACATCCGCCTTATTTATAGAAAGAAAGACACGGCAAGTTCACCAAAATGCAGAAAATTCTTATAAATAACAAAAATACATACACAAGTCCTCATTATTCTAATTGTTCACAGAGAGAAAATCAATGGAAATACTTAGCTGTGAAATATTACTTCAGAAAGTAAATTTTAGTTTATTTATTCTTCATTATTTCTTGTGTTATTTATTTTATGAAATAGTAATTTAATTTTATATCTTTCATGGTTTCACAAATTAAATAAATAAAAATATATATATATTTTTGAGGGCATTTCAGTAAACTAAATTTATGTACTATCATAAAATAAGGCTGTGTTTATTTCTATTTGTATGATATTTCTGGATTTGAGTAAAAAAGCAACCTCATTCTATCTAGTGGTATTGTTAATATACAAATTAACTGGTAGTGTTAATTACAAATTTAAAAAGTTGACTTAACCTAATTAGAGTTATAATTCATAGAATATTAAATTAAATTGGACCAATACCACCTTCATAGAGTGTAGAATTACATCAAAATATAAAATTAATGGTGTTTATCTTATATATGGCTTACCGGTCGTATCGTAGCTATGTAAATTGAAATAAATATGGTGAAGAAATGAACATAGCATTATTTTATAATATTGGAAAATTTTCACCTAAAACAAGCACATATATCCAAAGCCTGCCCATATCAAATAGCATCCTAAAATGGTTCTGCTCCTTCTTCTCCAATCGATCTCAGACAGTTACAATACCGAATAAACCTCCATCATCACTCTTTCAATTAACGCGAGGTGTTCCTCAGGGTTCCTCACTCTCCCCGACCCTTTTCTCCATCTATATTAGTGACCTTCCTAACGCCATTCAACACTCCAGTTACCACCTATATGCCGATGATTTCCAAATATACCAATCATTCCAACCTTCTGAAATGCCTGAGGCTGCCCAGAGGCTACAAGAGGACATCGACTGCATCAACAGATGGGCAGAAATAAATGAATTAAAGCTGAATTGCAGATAAAACCAAGGCTATTATCATCGGGTCCAGACATCTCACCAGCTCCCTTCCTTACTTTCCTCTACTTAAACTCAATAACCATCCCATCCATTTTTTCCCTACAGTCAAAACCTAGGAGTAACCTTTGACCACAACCTCTCCTGGAATAACCATATCTCCCAGATTACCCGAAAATCCATAACTGGCCTTAAACAACTCCTAGGATTCCGTGATTGTATTCCTCTAAAAACCAGACAGCTCCTTGTAACCTCCCTTATATTCTCCCACTTCGACTATGGTTGCTTGGTGTATGGAGGGTTATCTGCCAGGCTGGAAATGAGACAAAAGAGACTCATGAATTGTTTCATAAGATACATTTTCGGGACCCCCAGGTGTTCACATGTTTCACTCTGGTACACCGAGTGGAAGTGGCTTTATCCTACTTCCCGACGACAATTCCTCCTTGGTGTTTTCCTTTTCCAAGTCTTCAGAACCCAAAACCCTCCCTACATCCTGGAACTCCTTACTCCACGCTCCTCTATCCACTCTCTCAATACTAGGTCTCAACCTATAGACTTATATATTCCCTCCCATAAAACTTCCTCCTTCAGCAAATCTTTCGACATTCATGCTACTTCCTTATGGAACTCACTCCCTACCTCATGTGTCAATCCTCGTCCACAAATTCCTTCAAACAACTCCTGTTCCAACACCTACTCCACATTCAAACTTCTCCTAACATGTAAAATTACTTGCATCTATACAATGTTTAATTTCAATCCATTGCACGATTGAAATAACAATTAACAGTAAATTAGTTTGTATCTTTATTATGTCAGACTAAGATCCATAAAGTTGTTACTCTGTTATTATTCTTACGGGACAGTAGTCCCAGAATAAAATATTTTTTTCATTTTCATTATTCATTTCATTATCTATACTGTACCAGAGTGCCCACTTTATAGTCCAGAAAATAATTTAGGATTTTGAGTTTCTTTAAAATACCCCTCTATATAACATACTGACAATTTACCTTTAACAAAAAAAAAAAAATAAAATAAAAATAAATAAATAAACTACCTTGTCTGATTGGACCAAGCCTGGTAGCAGTTTTGTAGAGAGTTTGAGGACTCCATGTTGAAGGAATACGGGCAAACACTTTTCCAGCATCAACAGGAAGGTGCAAACCAAGTTTATGAAGAAGGAGAAGGAACACCTGCGACTGCATTAGTCCTTTCTGTTCGCAGGACCAGGCCACGATAGGAACAGCTTCCTTCAGGACTGTAAACATTTTCTTTAGTAAATACTATACCATAAATATGTTTTTTAATAAACTATTTTTTTTTTATAATAAATATGATTATTAAAGTTCCATTAGACACAGAATTGTGAGTTTTTATTTTCATTGGTGATCAATCGATTAAATATTTTTTCTAGATTTTTAGATAGGATAACTGAGATGTTCAGTTTTAAAATGAGTTAAGACAATTTGTAAAAATGTTATTGACCTGTTTGGAAAATAAATTTATTTTTTATTTTTTACAATAAATTAGGCCAATATTCACCAACATTTTATTGATACGCATTAATTTTTACGTTTCGACCATACTAAGGGTCATTTTCAAGTCTGGAAAATTGTAATATCATTATTAGTTAATATTCACCAATTACAAAAAGAATTTCTTATTACATTTAATTGACTTGTCTAACGTTTTATGTCAAATTATTTCTGATACAACTATATATATATATATATATATATGTATATATATATATATATATATTACAAAAAATTTACAGAATTCTGTTAACAACAATACAGATGTGGACAATATAAATACCTTTTATGCTAATATAATTAACAAAATTCATATATAATATCATATCATGAACTGTTTTTTAAGATTCGTCTTCGGCACTTCGAGATGGTCTCATGTGTCCCACCTATATGCCGAGTCAAAGTGGCTCTTCCCCTCTTCCCGCCGCCTATACTTCCTTGGAAATTTCTTATACCAAACGATCAACTCCCAGCACCCTTCCTATATCTGTTGTCTCCTCCAGCCTAAACCCTTAGTCCACTCAATAAAAACGAGATCCCGTGTTTCTGACCTCTATATTCCATTCCACAGGACAAAAACCTATGAACGTTCCTTCTTAGCCCGCTCCGTCTCCTATTGGAATTCTTTGCCACATAACATCCGTCATGCCTCTTCCCTGTCAACTTTCAAATACCTCCTTTTCCAATATCTCCTTACATCCCAAACAGAAGATTTACCACCATAAATTTCATTTTATGAACTGAATTGGCGTGAAGTAAATAGTGGTGCCTACTGTTTAAGTTTTAACATAAAACAGCAATGATCTTTGTCACCTAGTTTGACTATTATTTTTACTATTTATTTATTTTTCTCTTCTCTTCAGGTTGTGCTTTTTTTTTTTCGGGTATATATGTTCATATTTTATATCTTTGTCTTTATGTGTGCCAATATGAGAATGTACGTTTAAATAGTTCCTTTTAGTTATTTTTTATTTTCCGTTACACCACAAGTATCGTAAGACTTTATTTTATCTTAGTGTCTGCATATTATTATATAAATCACTGTAGATATTATTTCATTTTGTATTAAGTTAGTTTTCTATTAGATAGCCTATTGTTTATAAATTGTGTAGTTAGGTATATATAAATATTAATTCTCTTCTTTTTTTTTTCATCACAATTAAGTAATTTTGAGAAGATTTTATGTTCATTTGTATATATATTTTATTTTTTATGTTTTACTAGTTAAATACTTTTTAAATAATGTATATAATATTAAAGTCCCAGAATAAAGTTCAATTTTCTATTTCTATTTCTATTTCTATAATAATATAATAATCCACCAATGCAAAACATTAGAAGGAAAATCCCTCTCCTTTTGACTATTCCCACCAGGACGATATAAGTCAGTCCCTCCAGAAATGACGTGGGCAAAGCCCCTATATAACATCACAAGTTAATGTTCACTGAACATATTAATTACAACATTAATGATGAACATACAATGGAGGACTCATCAAGGTAATTAGTCATTTGTTTTTTATGTAAAGTTTTAATGTTTATAGTTAAGTACATGTATGGTTTTTTTTTATAATAAAAAGTGTATACTTCATATATAATTTTAGATAAATTTATGTGTATCGGAAATAATTTGACATAGAACGTTAGACAAGTCAATTAAATGTAATAAGAATTCTTTTTGTAATAGCTGAATATTAACTAATAATGATATTATAATTTTCCAGATTTGAAAATGACTCTTAGTATGGCCGAAACGTCAAATTAAAAAGCGTATCAATAAAATATTTGGTGATAATTGGTCTAATTTATTGTAAAAAATAAAAAACTTCAAGACACCAAAAGTAGGAAAAATGAACAGAAGAAATAAATTTTTTTTCTTTTTTGAAACTGTGGTTAATCCCAGGTATAATGTTTTGTTGCTTTCTTTTAGTATTTATTACGAGTAAATGATTTAAAATTTTAAAGAACAAACATTTTTTTTCTGGATTTAGTTGCTAAAAATCCTTTAGACGTGACTACCTTTTTATTTTTAGTATTTGAGGAAATAATCAGTAAAAGTGTACCATTAATTTTTTATAGAAGGTATGGAAGCTACATATAATTTAATTCAGGCAAAAATCGGATTTTTAAAAAAAGTATTATATACGTAACGAAAATTGTATATTCCTTGTAATATATACGAGGTATACTCAATGTACGGTGATCTGTCTATCTCCTAATTCGCTCGAGTGCAGCGAATGAAATGCTTAGGACATGTCCTGAGAATGGATAAAGTGAGGACAGCAAGATGGCTTTATCATGGGAAGCCAGAGGGAGTTAGGTCTACGGGGAGGCCGAAGGCAAGCTGGATAGATAACGTGAAAGAAGACCTGAGAAAAAACGGCATATCCATCAGGTGCGCAGCCAAAAGGGATGACTGCGAAAAGGAAATTGAGCAGGCCAAGGACCGCTGCATGCCTCTGTAGTTATCCGATGGACATTCTTCAATTAGTTTTTTGTATATAGTTAATACATTTATTAATAATACATGTTAATGCAAAGTGAAATCACCAAGGCCACCATAATTTCTTCCAGGTGGGAAAATATTATTGAGATTTAATCCATTTGATTGTTCCTTCAAGACAGAAGATTAATGTGGCATTAATTAAGATAAATTGTTAAGAATTTTATTATTATATCTGCTAAGTCGATAGTACTCCAGATTGGTTCTGTGATCTACAATTATAATCATGCCTAACTTTGTATGTAATTACACAATCATTGTATGTATAAATACTGTACATCATAGAAATGAATTGATTATATTTTGATTTTATATACAAATATTTAAAAAAAAAGAAGTAGATACTGAGTAATTCATTGAAATACTTAAGATTTTCTTATTTTTTAAAAAATTGTTATAAATTTCATGTTTGTTATAAATTTCATGTTATTAATTAAAAATGAACAAAACCAGCTCCAATCTCATTCATTTATTTTTTTTCAACATCCTCTCTAGTGTAGCAACCCTATTCGCCCCTTCAATAGTTGTATATACAGTACCGCGTGACTCGTCAAAATAGCGGGTCTGCGGATTTTATAAATGAAGGGGCAAAAGTTATTGGAACTAGAAAAACGCTTTTATTTTTAAATTTTTAATTTCTTTAAAAATCTATATTATATATATTGCACCTTATTGTCAATTTATGTTATTATAATTATTCTTATTATTAATTTGTAACCATAATAAGGGAGAAATAATTGTGGGAATAAAAAGTTACAGTTCGTCCTGCTGTTTATATGTAGAATAAAATATTACACGGTCACTAAAAACTTTTTTATATAATAGAAAGATGTGTTACAGATAATTATTATTATACCTAAAACTTAATAAAACATTAATCATTTTTTGTTTAGACGACATAATCCTTATAGCGGACTCACAAGAGACTCTACAGACATCATTAGTCGAGTGGAAAGAAGAATTGAAGCTCCGAGGGCTGCATATAAGCCCACACAAGTTATGTGCGTTGGAAAAGATAATGTGGAATATATGATGTTAAGTAATGGCGAACCCCTAGAGGTAACAAAAGCATACATCAATGAAGATGACAAAATAGACCAGAAGGTACTAAATCGGGTGATGAAGGAAAATGAAATAAATTACCACATAGCCACAACAATCATAGGCAAACGGGAAGTAAGCAGAAAGGCCAAACTCACAATATTTAAGGGGATATTCCTTCCAGTGTTTCTGTATGGATCTGAAAGCTGGACAAGTCTCAATAAGCACGTAGGCAGGATCACAGCAGCGGAAATTAAATTTCTCTGAAGAATAGCTGGCAAAATTAAGAGGGACTGTGTCAAAAATGAAAGAATTCGTGAGGAATTGGAGGTGACGTCCTGGAAGAGAAGCAGTTGACATCTGCAGAATGAACGACACCCGAAAGTCCAGGTGGTTTATAGAAGCCAGACTGGAAGGCAGAAGACCTCGTGGAAGGCCTAGACATACGTACCATGATTACATTGGAAAACTGGACGGAGATAGAGGATGCACCATACTGGAAATGAGAAGACTACTCAGGGAGAGACCAGTGGGCAAGATGGGCTGAGGCTTAACGGCACAAAGGAACTTGAGAAAAAAGAAGAAGAAGGTTTTGAAATTGAACATCTCAAACAGAAAAATTTATAAACTTATATTTCTTTTTTTTACAAAAGTTAGTCCAATATTTTCAAGTCAAAAATGTTAAATCACACTCCAGCGATATATACCTTACATCAATTCATTCTTAGATTATTTCAATTTTTTTCTTTACTTTTTTTAACTCATTCCTTTTTTTTATCTTTACTTTATTTTACTCACACCTTTCAAAAATACTAATGACCACTGGATCTTAGATTATTTAATTTTTTTTTTATCTTTACTTTTTTTAGCATCTACCAGAAATATTGATAACCACCGATTCTTATATATTTTTTTTTAATTTATCAGAAATATTGGTAACTACTGAATCTTATGTTATTTTTTTATCTTTACTTATTTTTACTCACACTTTTCAGAAATACCGATAAACACTGAATTTTAGATTTTTTTTTTCTCTATAAAATATGTATTTGTGCCTGTCAACAATAAGTTGACAATCAGCAAATGTGATGGTGATAATGATATAATGACATGACAGGCATGGGGAAGGAAAGTACCCAGCAGTACCTTTTCCCTAACTTGTTCCAATTACTTAGGTTGTTTAAGGAAGGAGATCTCTCATCCAACGCCTTTTTAGTCTCCTCCTCATGTTCTGAGGTATGTCAGCTGTGGCCATGTCTCTTATAAGTCTGTTATTGTGTCCATTTAAATTTGTGTAAAATCGTTGATAAAGGATCGATATATGTTGGTCAACTGTTGGAAGGTGGAGGTCAGTATGTAGAGTTTTGTTAGTCACGTACCAACGTGCTTTTGTTATGAATCGCAATAATTTTGATTGGAACGTTTGAAGTTTTTGTAGGTGGGTCTTTTTAGCGATGCCGTATATTTGTGATGAGTATGTCCATATGGGCTTAAGTAAGTATGTATATGTATTCAGTTTCTGTTTTAGTTTTAGTTTTGAAGATTTGGCAAAAAGAGAGTAAAGTAGTTTGAGTCGTTTTTAAGTGTCATACGTTTCATTTTAACATGTGGGCCCCATGTCATCCTTCTGTCGAAGGTGAGTCCAAGGTACAGTACCATGTCCGTTTGAGGAATTTGATTGTTATCAATATAAATTGGAGGGCAGGTGTTTTTCGAAGAACAAATGTTATATGTTTGGATTTGTCATGATTAAGTCGAATTTTCCATAGTGTGAACCAATCTTGTAGTTATTTTAATTTTATTTTGTTGTTTTTTGCGGTCCCGAAAACTCTGCCCCTTCATATCTAAAACCCGCAGACCCGCTATTCCGATCAGTCATGCGGTACTGTATACACAGGTAATGAAGGGGCAAATAAGGTTATATAGGCACTTAGGATGTAGAGAAAAATAAATAAATGGGAATGAAAGGTAGTTTTATTTTTTAAAAATAAGAAAATTGCTCTGATGTGTATAAGACTTTAATTTTATTTATAATTAATTATTAAAGCTTTTAATACACTATATTTTTAATATCTCTAGCTCAATAATCATCACTACGAATTTCATCGTAACTGTAAAAATATGGCATCTAAACAAACTATGAGATGGTTGGTTGTTAGTGTCCTAGGCTAATATACTATGAAGTACCTTATCCCTATGTTCAGTCAACATGCAAACTTTTCTAATTTAGCATTACAAATATATAAAATAATATATGATCTTATTTATACTTACTAGTGGAATAGTACGGCACGGGTTCGAGCGTATTATTACTCTTCTTGTCGAGAAACAACTTTGCATAGCACGTTTCAAGAAGAACTTTCTGAAGCCAAGTTATAAACCCTACTCCCACTTTTTCTTCCTTTATCAGATGCTCTTCATGAAACAAACAGCTCAAAACATTATAGTACGAAATTTTATTTAATTCAAAGAAAAATATATATTATAATATTTGGTTTTCAAAAATAAATAAAAGGTATTCTAGGCAAATGCAACTACAGAAATTCATTCATATAAAGAAGGTTCAATTTAAAAAATACTAGTTTTACAGAATAGCCTATTGAATTCGAATAGTTTAACATTAATCCCTTTACATTAAATTTAATAATTATTAACTTCCTTTATTTATTTATTTTTTAAATCAGAAAAAATGCTATTTTATAATAAACTAATTAATGCACAATTAGCTATTTTACAAAGCTGAAGATTACTCTAACTCTGGAATTCTCTAAGTCTAATTGTTTTGTACAGATTCTGAAAGTAAATAAAATTTTAAGATGAATTCATATTGACCACTTACCATGCTAAAATGCTTATAATACCAAGTTCTAAATTTCTCCAAAGCAAACCTTTTTGCGACAAATTTATTGAAGTAAACATTGCACATTTTATGCTTAAGGCAAAAAAAAAAGTCTACATTACTTTAAAAAAAAACTTTATTTTCATATGCTTCTGCTATTGTACCATCTTCAGGTGATATGGTTGTTTTAAAGGGAGCTGTCCCTAATAAGCCACGTTAAGTTTTAAACTAATTGTGTTTAAATTATTAATTAAAGGTTACATTATATAACCTCCTCTTATAAACAACTAATTTAACCAATTAAAGGTACTATTTTGCTGGTGCTGTCCACGACCGTGACTGCTCGTGGTTGACCACTGCTTTAGTAGAATCGAAAGGAACCTATTTCTAACTTATATCTAAGCTGCTCCTATCTGACTCCTCTTGAAGCAATGGAGCTGTTGGCGGTTCTAGGTTATGTTATCATATCAGAGCATTGTTTTGATGATAACAGTCACCTTGATACATTTTATTTCCTATGTTTCTTTCAAGTCTAGCAAAATTATAATAAATATTGTTTAAAACTGAAACAATGCAATAGTAAATTATTTTTTTATGGTTGAAGTAACAAGATTATTTATTTATTTATTCCACCAGCAATATTTTACAGCAAAATTCAAATATACCTAAATCCAAACGATATTAAATAAATTAAAGAATCCAACAAATTTTAACGTCAGGTAAATACTAAAATCCACTCATTGAAAAATCTATTTGTATTTTTTAATTAAAGTGGTGATTTACTGATTACTATTGATAAAACGATAAAACATTGTCTGCTGTAATTTAATTACAAATATGTGATATTTATTACTAATCAATTATGTAATAATTACTATTACTTTTCAAACTAATAATATCTAATGTCAGAGAGACTATTGTTGTTAGTAGTTATCTCATCGAAGTATTGATATTCCTTCTCCTTATGAACACTATTTCCTCTTCTTCTTCTTCCTCCTCAAATAAAAAAGCCTAGTCAGAGAAAGAATGTCCATTTTTTTATCTTCGAAGATACGCGAAATGTTCGAAGGTTATAGGCAGGTTATAACAACCCCAGTGAGCAGTTTCAGCGAAATAGCTAAGCCAACAAAGGTTGGCAGCGTGGAATAGTGGTCGCTGTCGTGGGCCAGTGAAATAGTACCTTAAGATTATTTCAATTTTTTTTTTTATTTGCTAACCTGTTTGTACAAGTATGTTACCACCTGTAGGCGCCCCTAATTAAGGAGATTATCTTAAATATTACCTTTGTTTATATACAATTGATTTAAAATTGTATAATAATATGGCCCTTCTTCTCACTACGGCTGGTCCCCAGGAGAAGTTAGACCATACCCCCTTAATTATGGAAAGCCTATAAGTTGTACCATACTTGTAAGAACACGCTAGTAAAAAAAAAATAATTAAAACTTAACATGGTTTATTAAGGACAGCTTCCCTTAAAACAACTAAATTACCTTGAGGCCTTTTTTAGAAGGCTTTGCTCTTTTTATTTTTTTTTTTTAGTCTCAAGAATTTTTATTGAACGTTGCGAAAAACCAAAATAATTTTGAAATAAAGCTAATTTCATCTATAGTAATAATCTAATATGTTGTTACAAATAGAAAAAAAAAAAAACTATTCCTTTGAAAATTCCAAAATTAGAGTCACAGGAGGAATAATCTAATTAAAAAGTTGACAGAATTCCTCAAAATAACTTCAAGTAATTGTAACCCCAAATTTCATTCCAATATCTGAAATATTTTAGAATTTAAATGGAGGGCAGGTTGTCTGTTTAATCAAGTATACCTATAACTTATTAAATTAAAAATCTTCTTTTAATAGGCTTTACATCACTCTACCAAACTTTGAAAAATAAGTTTAACGTGTAGAAAATGATAGAATGTTTAAAAAATGTAGTTCAAATTGATTCATTACTTATTTTAGGAAATGAAGGGGGAAAATTACTATTTATTTGTTACCTATTGAAAAAAAAAAAATTAATGGTACCTTTCAATATTTCAATTTCATCCTTGGACTGGGGTACTTCCTTCATGTTTTCAATTTTAACACTCCTCTAAAAAATAAAAATAAAAAACAAAATATAGACTTCAATAAGGGATTATATGAATCATTGGTGCATATTCCATTCATAAATACAAGGTTGTATATATAAAGTTTTTTTTATGTATAAATAATTTTAAAAGTTATTTAAGCCATTTTGTTATCACTGTTCAAGAGTTTTATTTTAATTTATCACATAAAGTGATTTTTTTATTGAAAAATTAAAGAACCATATTAAAAGCAGATTTAAGGACTAGCTAATAATCTTTGGTAATAAAATTATTAGCTCTAAAAAACATTATTCTGGACCTCTGGGTTTTAATAAGGGAATATTGTTTTTAATAAAAAAGTAAAAGTTATTTCTGACAATCTGTTGGGAAAAATTAATATCTTGGAAGATGCTCAAAATGAAATAATTTCACAAAAGTCACTTCTTTTTTAATTGTTCAGAAATAATAGAAAATAATTTTTTCTCAATTAATTATTTTAAAAGTATGTCCTCTATCTCAGCGGTTCTCATACGTTTTTTTCCATGATACTTATCGGCCTAAAAAATTTTAATTGGATCCTTTTTAGACTAAATAAAAATCAGTTATACTTAATATGATAAAATGTTGACCCATTTTTGATGGAATATACTAATTAGATTGTTAACAAAGTCCTTATGGAGGAACACAATCCTTAATTCAAACTCTCGTAATTAATCCTATGAGAATGTTTTCGTTCCTACTATTTATGCCAACGTTTACTTTGATTCGTAATCTTTTGAGATATTACTGAAAAAAAGGTCTAAGCGAAAAGACAGTCGCTGAACAAATTTGTGACACAGAAGAGAGTCAGTTATCCACAATAATACTATTGGTTCAAGCGTTTCAATAATGCAAATCATCAGGTCATCCATCGGTCGTTGATGATGATGTTCATTTTGAATGTCTGAACCAGAACTTAAATGCAACAACTCATGATTTATTGACATATCAGAGGCTTCTAAATCTAATAATAGAACAGGTGGATAGCTATAAATATCTAGGAGCACATCTAACAGAAAAAAGACTTAAAGATTCAGATATAATGAACGAAAAGAATAGTTTCAGCTGAAAAACTGTTAAAAGGAGCTTCATTAACAGGAGGGAAATATTAAAAGGAATAAAGATGGCTGTATACAGAAATACTTTCATATCAATACTGACGTATTCCAGTGAATCTTGGACACTTACGACAAAGCACGAAATTCTACTACAGAGCTCTGAGATGAAATTCCTTCAGAGAATTGAAGTTAAAACAAGACGAGACTGAAACAGGAATACTACAATAAGTGAAACCTGCAAGAACAGTGATCGAGGAAAATCAACTCCGATGGTATGGACATGTCATTAGGATGGATGAAAATAGAATAGGCAGAAGAGCAACCTATGAGACATAGGTAGATGGCCTTAGACCGAGAGGAAGGCCAAGGAGAAGATGGGAGGAAGGTATAAAGGAAGCATTTGCAACCAGGAGAAAGAATTGGCGCAAAATAGAGATCTTTGGTCCCAGCTCTGTACGGGAACCCCAACACTGCTACGGCGGTCGGCAAGGGCTAGACGAAGTGAAGTTTAAAATAGGGCCTTCTATTTCAATAGTGGGTTCTCATCTCAAAAACTTGGGCATACAGAATTTTAGATAAAGATCAAACCCTCAGGACTTGATGGAGACTCAAGCCCAGCAGCGAATTAATAATTGCAAAATTTTGCTTCAAAAGCAGAAAGATGGCAGGTTTTCCAAAAAGAAATTATCACTAGAGGATGATAAGTGGATATTTAAAAAAAAAAATGTGGTGCGCGCATCTCACAACTTCACCCTCTTCTTAGGGGAAATAAGTACATATTTATTCAATATAAGCTAAAAGAAATGCTAATATGCGATTAATAATAATAATTAAGTTACTAAAATAATTCATTAGTATTATATTTCCACATACAGGCTTTGATTTTTTATTTTCTAATTTAGATTTACATCAAACTAAAAAACAAAAAATTACTCATCTACACCAAAAAAAAAGCACCCAAGCATTAAGTTAAATTATGTGTTAATTTTGGAAGTAAAATATTAGTAAAAAAAAAAAAAAAAAAGACCTGTACCACTACAACCTATGAAGGGTCTTTGGTTCAGTACTATTTAGGGAAAGTACTGTTTCTTGGTCTACGGTTGTGCAAGGAGGTGATTTGACCGAGATCACGCTCAACCGCCAGGTTTTTCCCTTAATTAATTATTTAATTAAGGGTACCCACTTTATAGAGGCTGGGTGTGCCCCAGGAGGGTCTACCTACCCAGGGTCGCCTCACGGCCAATGAAACAGATTAATTTTTCTGCCATGAGCCGGGATTCGAACCTGGGACCTTTGTAGCGTTGGAAGCTCAGTGCCCTACCACTGAGCTAACCCGCTTCCAAAATATTAGTTATTATTTGTTTATTATTAAACGTTTATTATAAAACAATCCACCCATATAATAGCTAACTACTTTTAAAGCATGGATTAGTTTCAAGCTGGAAATAAAATAAAATTTTCTGGGTAACTACAAGGTTAAAATTGAGATACAAATTGTTATTATTGACAAAATCCATAGCCAAAATCTTCACTTACAGAGATTGGTTCCTTCTTCATCAATTCGTCGTATTGGAGGCCATTGATTACATCTTGTTTTAAAAGTTGTTCAATTACCTGTTAATCATGCCATATTTATTTATTTTGTTTATTATTTATGCTCTAAAGCATCTTTTTAAAAAAAATTAAATGGTTTCTTTAAAAATTGACAAGATCCTATCACAAAGTTAAAAAATCTGATTTGATCCGTCAAACTTTCACTTACAATCCTATTTTTCATATAAATTAATTTTTTTAAACATTAATAAACCTTAACAATATTACATCTAGTATAAATATAAACTTAAGTCCATTAATATAAATTATAACAATTCTTTGCACCCTCTGCTTTTGGTTTATCAAGCTAAGTATTTTCTATGGAAATTACATTTACTTTTTATGCAAACCACTTCTCATTCTATAATATAAAAGCCATATTTGTTAGAGCTAATTTTGAGAAAACGGTATAAATATGTAAAATGTATGATATAATTTTGACAAAAAAAAGAATATCTAACATCCCAGGTGTATATTTAATTCAAAGACACACTTTAAGTATTCTGCCTTTTTTTTGCTTGTAGCACCGCGACCACAAGGATATATTGTGCACCATGTACTAATTTGTTTCATCACTAAAACATTAATTTTGTTGCTTCCATGTATTTGAGTAAGCAACAATGTATTTGAGTAAGGGTTGATAGACCCATAGCTTCTGGGGTCATCCACTCGGTCTTCCTCGAAACAGCTCAAGCTAAGCCTTGCAAACCTATCACATCGACAAACAATGTGAAAGCCTGTTTCATTTTCCTCATGAAAAAATCTACATAGTGGATTTCTTATGAATCCGAGATCGTACATATGATAGTTTAAGCTAAAGTGACCAATGTCGATAGCTCGCTGTGTTTTTTTTTCTCTCCTCTTCCTCGCATTTTAGACTACACAGAGATTTCCTGGGCACCGTTTTTTTTTTTTTTTTTTTTTTTTTTTCTGTTGGCATTACAGACCATGTAGATCTTTTGTCATCTTAACAAGCCTGCTCCGTCTCTTCATTTGTTGGGCTATTTTTTTCCAGTTATCTGCACGCAGCTCTGTTGCATCTTTGTTGATTCTATCTATCCATCTGCTTTTTGGCCTTCCACGTGGTCTTTTGCCTTCTATTGAGGCATTCATTGTTACGTAGAGGCTTCCAGATGGCTTGCTACAAGCTACATGCCCCGCCCATCTTAACCTCCATGCCTTCATATCATGAGATATTGATTGATCAGTTTCTGTAAGCAGTTCTTTATTGGTCTTTCTTCTCCATGTGTTAGTACTCTGATCCCAGATCTCTCCGGTTATCGATGCGGAGGATTTTCCTCTGAAATCTTTCGACACTTTTTTCTAGGCTGATGGTTAGTGTCCAAGTCTCACATGCCATATCTTAGAACTGTCTTTATCATAACATTGTAATCCTTTTTGTTTTTTTGAGTGGCGTCGATGCACTGCGGCCATGAAGGCCTATTCTACGCCAAAAAATAGTATACCCTTAGTTTAAGATTTCCAGGCACCGTTTAGTTAGTTAAAAACCCAATGGCACCGGGACGCGTACTCACAATTATTTTATTCCGTATAACTTCTATTATCATATAATATATTGTAACTTTCCTCTTTCCCTCCAAAATTAAACAACGAGTTTCCTTTTTCAATATACAATTTATTTTAACATATAACATAAATTCTCAGGTTGGGTTCTGACAACTGAACACTCATTCAACATTAAATAACTATAATCTACACTAATATATAATTTAAAATAGTTTTATAAAATAATTTGTCCCGGTCTAAACTTTTGGTTCTATCCCTTTGTCAACATAAATGGCATTTTTAGCACTCACCCAAATGTTTACGCCTGTCAGCGAAATAATCTCTTCTCACTTACGAATGTCCCGTTTTCTGTACCACTTAATTAATTTCTCCTGTGTTCTCTTCCAACATCAAATAATCTCCATTAGTGGCCTCTATCAACACTCGAACCGGCTAGTACTCCTTTTTCCATTTTCTCAGCTTGTCACATTCTCTTTTGGCCGCTATCACCTTCTCTCTTGGCGGCCCGTCACATTCTGAGTTACATGAGGCTTGCTTCCCCCACCATCCGCACTCACTTTCTCCCCGTAGTTCGTGCTGTTACCACTTTCGCGCCACTATTTAAATGCTATGTAATGTTGACATTACAATATATTATATTATAAATATGTATTATTTTATATTTATATAATAATATTAATTAGCAATATATATACATATATATATGTGTGTGTGTGTGTATATATATCGTAATTATATTTATATAAATATTGTAATATATATAATTACATTGTATACGGTATATTGTACTAATTTAACATTACATTTTTGTTTCGTTTTTTGTATCTAGTTCTTTTTAGTCCAGATAAAGACCTACAATGTAGGCAAGCAATAAATATAATTTCCACATATTAGATGTGTAATTTTAGTCTTGCGTCTTCTGACTAAATTCTCCTTAAATTAAAACTATAGCCAATAATTCTCACCCTATTTTTAACTATGAACTTTCTTTAACTTATAACTAGTTCCTTAGTCTTAAGCAATTTATTGTCAGTTGTATGATTATTACTGATATACAATTATAGCATCTTACCCCAATCCTTGTTTTATTGCTGATACCAGCTTCAGTATATAAATTAATAACATTGCCTATTGGATCTACACAATTGGCACTCTGCATGTAATACCAGTAAAGATTGTCGCAATTTTCTTCATTCCATCTAAAAAAACAAACAATTATAAACGCATGATTCAATTATATTATAAGGAATAAATATATGTTTGTTATAATGATCTTCATTATCCAGTTATGGTAAGCATCATAGACATTAAGTACATGGTATTTAGATTCTGATTCAAAGAATTATTTCACTAGAGTTATCATCATAAAAGATCGCATTACTTGCAAAAGATTTTTTTCTCTAATATTTTTTACAATCTTAATAGTTCTGAATTTATCTCTACAGATATGTAAAGCTTCATAAGAAATGATATATTAATCTAAGACGAATGAGAGATCATTAAAAATAGTGGATGAGATCCTCAATCCAATAGTTGACCCTCTGGTCACAATGTAAAATAATTTATATTTCTCATGAAAATGGATAATTTTTACCAACTGGTACTTATGTGAGGGTCTAAACCCTAAATAGGACTTATGGTCATTTTTACCAACCACAGATAGCAATGCCATTTGGGAGCGGGGTGGCTGAGCATGCTAACACGAGTGCAAAACATGTGTTGTCCAGCAACCTGATTAATTTGAAATAATATGAAAAAATAATTACGAGTTCGCTTCCCGGTGCCAGGAGAGACTTTTAACTCTGGCATTAATCCACTAGTCCGAGAAAAAATCCGTATAGCCTAAAAGGCGAGGAAGGGGAAGATTATTTTATAGGTATAAAGTGGCAGTGCCAAGATTAATTTTATGTGGCCATCAAGAAATAAATATTAACTGACCCAGGTGAGAATTGATCTCACAATATTCAGAGCAAGGCACTCTAGGAACCACGCCCCAATATACTAGGCCATTACGTTCTCTAATTTTTACCTAAATATGTATAAGACTTAACTTTAATTTTACCTCACCCCATTACAATTTTTTTACTTATTATAAGCATTTACTATGTGGAGCAATGCCCGAAATATATTTTTAACTGATATTACTACAAATATTAGATGAAAATTAATTATTAATACAAATAAAAATTTTGTGGTTTCAATTTAGCTCAGAATGAAATGGAATTAAAGCAAACAAAAATAAATAACTAAACATAATTTTTTTAAATTATGTGGGGTACGCACATACTAAGGTATGCCAAAAAATGAATACTAAGAGACAGACATATTCTACATTGTTCCTGGACAGATCCTCTCCATAGAGAAATTCAATCCTTCTACTTATGAAAAGGAGCACTTTAAGAAGTGTGACAGGATTGTATACACTGTCGATATATAATCCTAGGGTTAACTTAGCTAAACCCTACACAATATGTACATGGAATGTTTTAGCTAGGATGTAATACTTCCATTTTGGTTGTGACTGCATTATTGATCTTAAGCTCTGCGAATTGCTTGACCCTAACAGTATGTATAAGTGTGCAAAGAATACCGGCCTGTTTTAACAAAATATAGCACCGAGCACAATAGGCCTCCATGAGATCGCAGTACAGTGATGAAATAATACAAAAAAATCATGCACAGACTTCATTGGAGAAACTATAAAAAATATTTATGAATCTTACTTCCTTTTTAAAAGTCTTTAATGATCTGGAAATGTTCTTCTGGAAGTATTATAATTTTTTAACGATCCAAAAATATATACTCAAGAATCCCTATTAAGGGAGGGCATTAAGAAATATTTACGGATAGTCAAGCAGCAATTAGCAGTAATAGTTATACAACCCACTCCAAGTACCTAGATGAGTGTAAAAGTAACCTGAACTCTCTCTGTAGTACCTACTATGTGAATGGGTGCATGCAGGTATTTTAACCAATGAGAAAGCCGATTGCCTTGCTAGTAAACGCTCTGCTCAAGTACCGTTAGCATCACAGTCCATCTGTGATTAGTCTCAGCTGTGCCAAAAGGCATATTAAGTCAGCTGTTGGCAAGAAAACTAGATTCTATTGGGAACAGACTAGGAAATTAACTCACTCTAAGTTGTTTCTAGAAGAATCCTGTCACAAGCGAAGCGTATCGCTTCTTCTAATGGACAGGAGCACCATTAGATCTGTGAACAGGACTGTATACTGGTCACTGTCCACTCAATAAGCATGTCTTTAACTTGGGCTTAAGTGAGACTCCCACCTTCAGACTATGTGACTTGGAGGATGAGGCCGCTTATCATATTATATGAAGATGTGATAATTTGGCGAGACTGCGGTACTTTCATTTTGGATGTCATCGTATCACTGATCACAAGTGCTGCGAATTGATAGCCCTTTTTAATCTTAACAAGTTCACAAAGGCATCTGGCATTTTTTAACAGAGTTTTAGGACGATACACAATAGACCTCAATGAGGCTGTGGTGCACCTCATGTCGAATTAAAACGAAAACACTCAATAATTGGAATTTTCCGCAGTAATTTGTTCTCATTCCATTTTAAAATTTATTTATTTTTATATTAAGAGAGTATTAGAAAATTTGAAGTTTATGCAATCAAAAAACAGTTTTGAAAGAGGCAAAAAGACCAGGTTAAGATAAAAATTATCTATATTATAATCAGAGAAACCAGATAATTGGATTACATTTTACATTCAGGAGGCCTTAAAACATATAAATTAAGTGATTTAATAGTGAAAAAAAATTAACAATAATTTCAGTTCCACTAGCATGGATAGCTGATAAAAATAAAAGAGAAATAAATATAAACCAATTAATGATGATAATAATAAATAATAAAAAGCTAACTTTGTTGATTAAAAAAGTCATTGAATTCACTTTTTTTAAAAACACACTTTTCTTATTATTACATTGTCCCTCCACCGATCTCAATTAATTCTGATGCTTTTTCTATTCATTTAATTTGCATTAAATTAAAATTTTTCATGATGAAATTTATGTAAGTTATGATGAACAGATTAAAATACAAATCAGAAAACAACTTTGTACCTAATGATTCATAATTGTACTTAAACCAAAGCATTTGGTAATTCTTACTGATTCTTCTGGTGGTTAGAAGCTGGCACGTCGACTTCTTTCGAGTGAAGAATAAGAGGAATCGACCTAGGGGTGTTGATAAATTTATGAATCACAAACTCTATAAGGTCTGCCCAATCCTATAAAATTTATGGATAAAAGGAGTCATTCATAGATATATTTATCTTTGGAATAAAATTATAAATACATAATAACTTAATCTTAAAAACAATATGTATTGAGACAAAAGAATGTAAAATAAAATAATATTTCTATCCATATTTCCTATCATATTCCTATGGTGTCCTAATTTCTTTTGTTCATGAATAAGTCAATATGATCACCATAGTTTTTATTTATTTTATAATTTTAAAAGACAACGGCCAACACTGGAGCCATTTTTAAGTCTTATTTTGTACTTATATCGGCAATCCAAATGTCCAATATTTTTCTTCATATGTTTTAGTAAACAACAGATATATCAATTTGAGTCTCCTATCATTTTATAAGGATTATTTAGTCTCTCCATGTAACTCTAATAAGACAATGGGAGACCAAACTTAACAAATTTGTTGTTTACTAAAACAATTAATGAACAATGAAGTAAAGATTTGATTAAGGGATTGTCAGTGGAGGTATAAAATAAAACTTAAAAATGGCTCTAGTGTTTGTTGAAACGTCTTTTTAAATTATAAAATATATAAAACTATGGTGACCAAATAGTCTTATAGTTGTGAAAAATAATAAAATCATATTCTTTCCCTTTCAAGTACCAAAATGAGAGATAATTTTTAAAAATATTTGTTATTGTCCTTTACCATAATAAATACATACATATATAATAATATGAAAATAGCAATTAAATAAATAAAAAGTTTGAAATATTGAACGAGCAATAAAAAAACAAAATATTAAAAAATGAAAAATAAATAAGGGAATTTGATTCTATACAATATTGAAATTCTAAACATTGATCAGGTATAGTATAGAAACAGACAAACCCCCCAATCGACTAAAAATTCTAAAAAACATTAATGAGAATACAGAAACCTGGAACCTGCTATACGGAAAAGAAGACTGAAATTCTATGGACAGATAATCAGAACAAACAAATCAGGGTAAAAAACATAAAATTTTGAAATAATATTCAACATGAAAAGCCTCAAAGATTATACTAAACAACTTAAAGGAGAACTACAAAAATTTAAAATTAGCGCTAGAGACCGCAACAAATTAATAAACAAAAGGTTCTAGTGGAAGATAAGAAACATCACACCAAACCACCCGCATGCAGAAAAAAAAAGATAATTTGGAAGAAACAAACAATGATAATGATTTTAACTGGGCATTAACATGAAGTTAACACAGTTATTATCTGTCAAAAAATTCATAAAAAAAAAACAAAACTGTTTGACATAATGACAGACCAAAAAATAATATTTGGTTATCAATTCGGTTTTCACAAATTAAATTTAACAACGCACAAATTAATATTAAACAGACTATATTACTGGAGCACTAAATCAAACATAATATACAACTGCTGTAGTTTCAGATGTTGCCGAGGCGTTTGATAAAGTCTGACACCAGAGGCTTGTCTTCATAATAAAAACGTAAAACCACGCACATACTATCTTATTTCTAAATCTTTTCAACAGATTTTTCTCCGTCAAACAGAGCTCAGAAATCTCTTCAATTTATATCAACTGTTAGGCATTGACTGCTATGTTGACACTATAAACAATTTAATGTTATTCCACAATCCTAGACAAGCCTCACAGCCTTTAATATTATTTACTACATTCACAATAATAGTACTCATTTTGGAAAATTATATTAGATCATGACATATAAGTTTCACATGTGTCCATATCAGTCCTTATCAGTAACAACCGAATTTCTGAGATGTTATGTTACTTTGTGCCCACGTTTCAAATTGAAAACTTCACTACTGAAATTACTATACTCTCGGTGTTTTTCAAATCATTGAAACTGAAAATTAGACAGGAACTGAATACACAAATATAACTACTTAAATACATTTGGACATGAAAAAAGAAACACTTACAAAAAGGATGATCTTTTCAATTCAAAATTTTAAGAGAGATAACAGAAGCTCATTGGTACGTAAATAACATAAAACTATATACCAACTTACAACATTCATCTATTGACTAATATTGTATACTATAATATTAAAAAAAATAAGTTGTAGGATTGCTTACATCACAGATCTGGAACTCAGATTCCCAAATTATACTAAATGTTTTTAGTATTGTCGGTTGAAATAATGCTGTTACATGTTCTAAATCTCCAGCGACATGGTGCATCATAGTGAACACACAGTCATTTACAAAATTTCCATTTTCTTCAAAATATTCCAATAGGTATCCATACTGTCGCATCATTTCAACAGGTACAAACCTAAAATATTGAAAATTATACAAGAAAATAATTATAATTAGTTATGATAGATTCTAAAATTTAGTAATTTAAACACTTTTTTAACAACAGTTTTTTTTTAATACAATAAAAAAAAAACAATAAAAAAGATTTTTTTCTAATCCTCCTTTATTTGGACATTATTTAAACAAAACAATATAAAAAAGAAACATGCATTATTTTATAGTATTTTTATAAAAGTATAGTAACAATGGGAATAGATAAATAAAAACAAATTGAGAAAGCTAAAATCCCTCATAAGTTTGTTTGTACAGTGGCGATTATTCCAGTATGGCAAATGAAAATAATTTAATTATAAAAAAGACTTAGTAAATATCCCTATCAATTTAAAGGGAATGAAATGGGTGGAGATGGTTGATTGTAGATTCTAATTTCAGAAGAAGTTAGTCGGGGGTGAGGTCAAAATATAAAATACTAGAATATAAAATAAAGAAATCAATTTTTTTTTTCTAGTCATATCATTCAGGTTCGGTGCCATTTTCTCATAAGTTTTTTATAAAATATTAGGCCAAAGGTCACCAAATGTACACAGTTTTTACATCATGTATTATTTATTCAACGTTTCAGCTTCAGGAGCCATTTTCAAGATCCTGCAAACTAATTTTAATTCATATTGAATATTTAATAGTTGACCATTGCATTATAAAGGAAGGAGATGGTCCGGGGTTGCGGTCATAAATAGGCTGAATAGTGGTAAAACTATTTCATTGAAAGCCAACGTTTCGACCCGACTTTGCAGGTCTTCATCAGGGAGGTGTGTTCCTCTAGGAGTTTCACTTAGAACTGGCAAGAACTGGCCCCAGTTCTAAGTGAAACTCCTAGATGAACACACCTCCCTGATGAAGACCTGCAAAGTCGGGTCGAAACGTTGGCTTTCAATAAAATAGTTTTACCACTATTTAGCCTATTTATGACCGCAACCCCGGACCATCTCCTTCTTTAATTTTAATTCAGTTTTTACAGTTCAAATCAGTACATCCTTATTAGACACATATTATTTTAACAACTATCAGTAATATAATAGTCCAAATTCTATTTTATAAACATTTTTTTTTGTTAATTAAAATGTAAATTAAAAATCAATTTTTTTTATTTGTTTTCGGGTGAACCCATACAAATGATTTGCTGTTACCGAAAAGTAGACCTAATGGAAGATAACCGATTACCAAAACTTTGTTTACAAATTTTTAAAATAACATTCTTCTATTTAATTAACGCAAAGCATAATTGGTATTCACAATTGACAAATATGTTGAGAGCCATAGACTCGGTTGAATTATTGAACATTAAAAATAAAGAATTATTTGAAGATGAATTTAAAAACACTATTGAAAAATTAAAATGTAATAAAATTTAACCTTGATATTCAATCCATATTGAACTTAAAATTTAATCAAAACTTTAGAAAAATTAGTAGCTTGACTTAAGGTGAATAATATTTAAAACTTAAAGGGCCAATAAAAAAACATAGAATGATTAGCCAATTAAGACTGTGCCAGCCGGAGAACTTAAAGGTTACTTCTTACTGTTTTCAAAATAGTTTGAAACATAGACATGTCGTCAGTCTCATTTCTATTTTGTGACTGGTTATTCTTAAAGGAGTAGGGGAAGACTATTTATTTTATTGTCTATTTATTTTTACATTATTGTATATGTTTACAATAAATAGTCTTCCCCTACTCCTTTAAGAATAACCAGTCAGGAAACTGAAATGAGGCTGATCAGATGTCGGTGACACATTATAAGGTAATTTTAACTTATTTGAATCATTTAATAATAAATAATTGAGTAATAATAATGTTATAAAATAATTAAAGGTGGACATGACAAAAATAAAAAATTTTTATATGAGTAGACGCATGCAATTCGCATAAGTTGAAAAGGACAGGTACACGATTGGTATTTTAGGTATATAAAAAGAATCTCTATATGTTGAAGTATGTAATGTTTTAAATATGTGTTAAACATAGGGATGATACTTCAAAGCATTAACGTTTTAATATGATTGTGTTTTAATAAATAAAATAATTTTATGATAGAAATCTAATTGCCAATAGTTAAATTAAATCAATAAATGTAAAATATACTTCTATCATAAGATAAACAAGTTGAATATATTTTAAATAGTATAATAGAAGACAATGCTTACAATTTCATATGATTTTGTAAAACAGCATTTGAACCAGGTAGGAGAGAATTTTCAATAAATGTCAGCAGAATATGGTTTGTGACAATTACATCTCGAAGGTACTGCTTGCTATGAATAGTTGGGTTGAACTGTCTCAATAAAAGAACAAACAGACACCGAAGATCTTCTGTTTCAGAAATAGCACCTGTGTAAACAAGAAGGTTCACTATTACTTTTGATAGATATACTGTGCTTAATCATGAAAACTAATGACAACAATTTTATATTTAAAAAATTATTTCAATGGATAGAATTAGACTCTTAAATATATATATTTTTTATTCATGAAATTTACAACTATATAAAAATAAATATACATCTAGTAAATGTGATACAAAGAAATGCAGGTTAGAAGTGAAAGGATTAGGATGGTTCTAAAGTTTATTATGGAGGTGTAGATATCTGGATAAGGTCAAATTGGAAACATATGGAACATTAAGTTCGTTATGGATGATTTTATGTTGTAACAAAGTAAGGAGCATTAAGGACTTTGGATTGTAAGGATTGGATACCAGCGGAATTCAATTGTTTAGTGGAGCCCCAAAGCTCAATTCCTTATCTCCAAATAGGCTTTATTATAGTCACGTAAATGAGTCTTTTTTTAAATAATTGGAAGCTTAGAGCGTTTGTCTAGTAACTGCTGAAGTAGTTGGAAACGTTAAGTGGTTTCTTGTCATTTCTGTCTGCTGTGAGGATTCCAAGTTAGACATTTGTCCAAATGGAGATCTGGGTATAAAATTTGTTCAACAGGGATATGTGTAGTATTATCAAAGAATAATGTAGGACAGGAAGTCATAGGTTTACAACAAAGGGTAAAGGTGATTTGATGGGATTTATTGGAATTTATTTTAATCCTCCAGTTTTCACACCATTCTTCAAGGTTTGTGATGAGTGATTGAGGAGTTCGGATGCAATTGATGGCCATTTATCAAATGGTGATGACAGTATTATGATGGGGTGTGATATCAGCTGTATAAACTGTGAAAAGAATAGGTCTGATGAAACTACCTTGGGGAACACCAGCAGAAGGGAAAATAGGAATCTGTAAGGAATAGATAATGAGAAAGTATGTAGGACGTAGGAATTTAAGGACATCATAAAGCACTCCCAGGTGCCAGACTTAATCAAAAGCCTGTTCTACAATGAGGCTCTTAAATATGATTAAAAAATAAATAAATGGATGATAAACAATGTTTACTTACTGTGAATATTATCAAGATATTCATTATCTTCCCAGTTATTATGTTTGATTTTCTTGTAAGCACTTATTGCCTGCAGAAGTTCTCGGATTGAAGTTACAATCTAAATGAAAAATGAAATGCATTAGTGTGAAGAAATAGTAAATTGTAGATAATTTGGTTGAGAATTTGGTAGGCGGTTGCAGTAAGAGATAAAAATAGAAATTTTATTTTTATGCCATTGTTTCAGCTTAAGTTTCAGGTCTTCAACAGGGTTGTTCGTTTGGAGATAATCCAGCGAGTGCCCATACCAACTAAGCCCCATATAAATGAATTAATTCAAGATAAGTTTATTCATAGTACATCGTCTCTTATCAGAGACAAAGTCCATTGAATTCATTACAACCATGATTACTGTTATGCTGCGTAACATCTTCATTCAAAATTCCTTAAAAATTTATTTATTTATGGAACTAATCAATTTCCATCATATTGGTTTGGGACATAGGATAGGCATCGACTATATTGAAAGGCATAGTTCTTTTTTTTTGAAGTGAAAACTCCTTTAGGCACGTTTTGTACTTCTTCATGGAGAGTGAATTAAATTGAGCCGTCAGATTTCCAATGTGTAACACTCGGGTAAATTTGGCTGGAGTTGACTAATTGAAGTGTTTTTGCATATTGTTTAAAATATCTCAAAAAAGAAAAATTGGGCCTACATATTGTCAGCAAGGCAAATGTTCATCATTTCATCCTCTTTGTAAAGAAGTATTATTAAAAATTTTATCTTAATGCGGCCTCCTGCTAGAGAGAGAAAAAATCGTGTCGAAAACCAAATTATAACGAGTTTTATTGAAGATAGGGATTAAAACATCTCCCAAACTAAAAATCGGACCTGCATATTGTTACCAAGGGAAGTGTTCATCATTTCATCCTCTATGTAATGATCTATTATTCAAAATTTTATCTTAACATGACGCTGTATTAGAGAGGCAAAAAAGGAAAAAATAGGATCAAAAACCAAATGATAACGAGCTTTATGGAAGGTATGAATCAAAATATTTCAGAAAAATAAAAATCGGACCCACATACTATATATTAGCCTTCTTGATGTTTTCACTTCTATTGTGTGGTCTAAAGTACACACCTTAGTTTTTTTTTTGTTTTCTTTTTTTATACACCATTAATTAGGCCTAGCTAATACTATAACTATTTAAACAGAACATATTTATAGCGTAGAAGGAGGGGTTTAGAACACCATATATAAAGGATTAGGCAATCAACAGTGTATTGTCTGCAATATAATAATAAGTATATAATTTATAAAAAGAAATTGTGAATTTAAGTAAATGATTGTGAAAAAATGGAGGGCTAGAGAAACTTTGGCCTCTGTTGATCGAAACAATTTTTTTTTTTTTTAGTTTATATTATAATATTTTTAAGAAGAAAGAATATTTATTTTTGTTTTGTAATATCTTTTTTTTTTGTCATCTGTAAAGTTTAAATATCCTTTTTAAAAAGTATTAGTCCAATCATTTTCACAGTTAGCAATTAAAAATAAAAATAAAATATAAAAATTACTAAACTCACAAGATGTATTTTTATAAGGTACGGTGAAAAATCATATTCTGTTTGAGTCTTGACTTGTTCAAACTGTTCGCAAAGATTTGCTCCTTCATAAGTTAGAAATGATATTAAATCAAGTGACAGGACATCCCTAAAAATCAGTTCATTAATTAATACATACCTATTGATGAATATCATATTCCAACATGTAATAATTCAAATCTTAATAAAAACTAACACAAAAATCATTGCTCGAATGAAAATATACCTGATATGTTCAAGATCGATTTCAAGCTGAACAGCAAACTTCAAAAAATAAGAGATAAGCCAGAAAAAGTGGGTTCTGTCCAAAGATTGATTCATTAACAACTGATTACGAAGCTCGGTGATAACTGTTCCAAATGCTTTCAATAAAAAATCAACTGTGAATTCTTTTAAAATATGAGTAATATCATCCTCAGTTGGTGTGTGATGCAAAAGAGCTTTTATATTGACACTAAAATAAAAAAATAAAAAATCAGAAATCAAAGAAATAATAATTATTTAAGTATAGAGGGGTTGTTTTTAAACCTTGGATTACCGACATTTCAAAAAAATGATTTCTTTTAAATATATCTAAAATGAAATTCCCCATGGCTCCCATTCATTTGTGTTTCTTGTTAATTAACAAGAACATGAGCAAATAAATTAAGACATTTTTGTTGTTTGGCAAAATAGGGCACATAGTTCTTTGGCTAAGCGATGTCGTCTTGTAGTAGACATCCCCCGGTATTTACTCCTTTATATGACATTGTGTGAGGGAATGAGAAGGAATATATAATATTTAGGAATGTGAGGTTGCACTGTGACAAATTGTTCTTTGAAAAGTCTCATATCGATAAACAATCGACGAAGAAGGAAAAAGGTCCGACCAGGTAGCAGCAGCTGGAGGAAGACACCAGGGAGAGAAGGGGCACTTGAGGCTGCGACACAGAGGCGAGAGGACGTCATCTGGGAAGAGAGAGATATTACATTGAAGACTAAGAATATAAAGGCTACAGTTATAAGACTTTTATACATTAATTTATTACAGTTGTTAAAATAAATTATTTTATTATACAGGAGTGAAAAGTCATTTTATTTAGTTGTCCTATAGGCCTCACAACTGAAGAATAACAAACCAGGTGAGTCAATTCATTCAAAGTGTGTATACTAGGTGAGTCAATTCATTCAAAGTGTGTATACTAAGTCCCACATTTCATATATGTATTCTTATTGTTTCTTCTCACTCAGTGTCACAAAAGGTATTAGATTCCCGAATTCCCAACGACAGTTAAACACCCTCAAAAAGTCTATATCCAGTGCCGGGGTTTTGTTTTAATAATCACGAGTGTAAATAACCTAGTTTCCCGATAAACGGAAGGCTATTCGCCTATTCCTACCAAAACTAATTATTTACATTTAACTTTATTTGGTTATTTACAGTCTTCTTACAGATATATATTACTTGTACGAGCACAGATGGCCTCTGGAGGAGGTTGCTATGGTCTCCATAGTTCAGTGGCAGGTCAACCATAGCTCGATAGCCAATCCCTTTGGGGATAATCTGGCAGAATCCCTCCCACTCACTCACTCGGGTTCAAGGACAGTGACAAATCGGTCTAGATCCATGGATTATGACTACTATGAGAACAACAGTCCTCACCACACCTCTCAGACACCGTGTTATTTAATGTTTTTAGGTAAATATGAACCCTTTTTTTTTTACTCTTTAAAAAGTGCATTTTCAATGTCATGTAAATAACCTGTTCGAGGGCAATTATAAATAGCCTTGTTCGGAGGCAATTGTAAATAGTATTCTGTGGAGTCTTGGTTATTTATACTCATGAATTTTAAATTTTAAAACAAAACCCCGGCACTGGATCTAGACTTTTTGAGGGTTTTTACTGTTTTGGGGAATTTGGGAACCTAATGCTTTTGTCACACTGAGTGAGAAGAAATAATAAGAATATATGTATGAAATGTGGGACTGAGTAAATACACTTTGAATGGATTGACTCACCTGGTTTGTTATTCTTCAATTGTAAGGAATATAGGACAACTAAATAAAAGGACTATTTTCACAACTGTAATAAAATAAATGAATTGATCCTCTTAATCTTCAGTGGAGTGGGCTTCTCTCCTCTCGTAACCTCCTTCCTTCTTCGTGCTCCTGCCTTAAGTGTCCTCTTTGTTCTCCCAGCATCCTTCTCTACCTGCTGGCACTTTTCCAGGCTTCTTCCTTTCTTTGTTCCGTACCTTTTTCGTCGATTTTTTATTGATTTGATACTTTTCAATAAATAACTTGTCCACTGCACAATTAAGTACACTTCATAGTGCAACCCTATATTCCTATAAAGTCCTCATTCCCTCAATCAATGTCACATAAAGGAGTAAATACTAGAGGCCATCTACTAGAGTCATATACAATCTTTATCACTTGAATTCTATAGCAACTAAATTTACATGATTTTTTTTTTCATGAAAGTTCCCAATTCCCTATTTTTTGAGGTTAGTTTTGACTGGTCATTCCCTATAGTTGACCATTTAAAAAAAAATTATATTCGATAAAAAATTAGAAAAATACTACTCAATCCTAACCTAGATAGAAATCAATAATAAACTAATTGACTTACATATTTGTTCGAAACCGCTTCATAAGTTTTTTCCTTTTCAGTTCTGCTTTATCTTGTTGCGATAGTTGTGTTTTACCATTGAGGAATCTGCTTTTTTGGATCATGTTTGAAGGCTTTTGATGAACTGGTTTTACCACTCGGCTTAAAAATAAATTTCTATAAATGAATGTTGAAAGATGACAAAAATGAAAAATATATATATAATTGAACATTATAATATTTTAAAAATAACTGATTGAGTCAAATTTATATAATGAAATAGCTTACTTGTTAAGCGAATCATCTTCATTACTTGAAGTTGATATCGATTCCTGGTTCTCGGCTAATGTTCCATAACCGCAATCTGACATCTGGCTGTGTTCCATTTGTTGGTCTCCATCAATCCACATATCCCATGTATCCTAATTTCCCAAAAATATTTCACTTGAAAATTTTTATTTTATTATTGCCTTATTTAAAAAGCTAGATATTGCTAATAAATTATTTGTTTATTGATAATAAGTGAGAGGAGATAGTCGGAATAACAGTTAAAATTTCAACAAAAAAAATTGTTTTATAACATTTTTTATCAATTATATCTGCCACTCTTTCTTCTAGAACAACACTTCCTAATATGTATAAATTAAATATAATATAAATAGATGAACAAAAGACAAGACTTATAATGCTTGTTTTCACTTCTTATTTCTTTTCTATGTCACTAGTTCAAAATAAAAGTTACAAAATATGGCTCTTTTTTGGTACTTTAGTCATAAAAGGTATTTTAATTGATTATCAAATAATAGGAACAAGCAATTAGATATTAAATTGCTTTGTTCCAGTATTTGCTGATGCCGGTTAATTTTAAATATACCAAATTATTAATGCAGATCGACCTCTTGAGAAAATACATGAACAAAGCCTCAGTAAATAATAAAATTCTAAAAATTACTCCACAACTTGATTGAAAAATGTGCAACAAAAAGGAAAAAGAGACACTTTACCATGTTTTATTTAAGTACTCCGTATGCAATAGTTTGAGAGGAAGAATTTACCAGAGTATAGGAAATATTAATAGGATGAAAATATTTAAGCCAAATACTATAGAAGATATGAGAAAATTATATTTTTTTATCTCTCATATATATTTAACTATAGAGAATTGGTGGGGTACTCTCAAATATTGTCCTCTGAATATTGTGGCCAAAATGTAGATTAGATTTTGCCAAGTAACCTGTCCCGGTCTCGTTTCCTTTGCTTTTGCGAATAAACTGTTAATTAAATTTTAAAATATGATTTAATGTTAATATTTAAAAAATAAAATGCATTTATTGTTTATTCTTGAAAGAAGTTAGTCGACTGTTCTACATATCATGGGTGATAAATATTCAGGACGCAGTTTGAACATAAAAGACTGCGTCCTGAATATTTATCACCCATGATATGTAGAACAGTCAACTAACTTCCTTCAAGAATTCATCAAATCATTGGGACCTAACTACAACAACATCACACGTCGTTGCTGAAATCCACCACATCAGAGATATGACCTCTTCGAACGCTGACAACGCCATCACACAACACACATCACGAAAAACAGGTCATCCTGGCCCATCTCAAGCTCTATGTCGCTCGCACTCTGCTGATTCGCCATCTTCTACAATTCATTCTATTCTGTCTCTAGATACTTCAAACACTAAAACAGAGCCCTGAAGATGACCCACATGTTTGGGTTGAAACGTTGGCAAAAATAAAAATTTTAAAAAAGACTGCGTCCTGAATATTTATCACCCATTTATTGTTTATGTGTACTGCTTTCAATTTAAGATTTTATATTGATGTTGATGATTGGCATTATTTTAACTGTGATTTTTTATGAAATTTTATTTGTAAGTTATACTTAACTTTTTTATAATATTAATAATGTAGCAAAAAAAAAATTGTAATATCATAAGGATCATAATGTTTATAATACAGAGATAGATTCTATTTGTATGGTGTTCTTCTCTCAAAACTAATAAAGATTATATGAATATAAAAAAATAAAAAAATAGATATTAAAACCCTAGTTACTTTGATAAAACTATCAAATTTTCAGGTAGTAAAGTTTGAAGTTCAAAATTCCTAAAAATTGAAATGGATACATAAAATCTAATATTTTATAAGTATATTTTCGTGAACACATAAATTTGAAGTTTTCAGCTTTTACAGTATTTAATTTAAAGTATCTTCATTAAAAAAATATAGACTCATATTTATATAGAGAGAAATGTGTTTGTGCATTCATACTCACGTTTATGTAAATATCAGTACGATTTTTAATAGATATTTTAAAAATTATTTTTAAGATTTGGGGGTCCATAATTGTAATGTTAATGATTTATGATCTTTATAATGATCTTCGACTGTGAAATGTGAAAAGAATGAGTAGGTTGAAATGGTATCGCCATGTCAACCGAATAAATGAAGAGAGACAGGAGAAGAGGTTCTACACAGGGACAAACTTCACCACTAGACCAAAGGGACGACCAAGGCCACGATGGAAGGAGAAGGTGGAAGAGAACAGGTGAGCCGGATGGTCAAGGTCAGATCTCTATGGCAACAGATGTTAAAGCCGACCAAGGACCACTTCGGTCTGTTGTGCCAGAAGAAGAATGGTATCGTGTGAAGACTAGCTAGCATTTTTTCTCAATTCCTGTCCTTAATTTTTGGTTACTGAAAGATCTGAAGGATGGTACCCCTCAGCTTGCCTCCTCAAGGTTCAATAGTTTGTTTCCTGTACCTTTACTTTTGGAGCATATGTAGACTGGTTGTCTCTCGTACATAATTCTTGTCCAACCCTTAGAGAACACGCAGTGTCAAGTCCTTCTAAAGACTGTGGATACCATCTCGAAACAACATTATAGGAACTGGATAAGAGACTATTTAAAAAATCTGGTGCATGCAACACACAACTTTCACTTACCGATCTACTTTGAATAGAAATTATTTTTTGACAATGCTGGGCTATTATAAAATTTTTTGAAGTGCATTTTAACGGATCTAAAGCTTAAAGCTTACAGATAACAAGTCATTAAGACCATTATAATTACAAAATGTCTATATAATATATCGACGACAGGCAATAAAAATCTAGTCACTCCATCTGCTTTTATAAACCACAGAATGACTAACTCCAATTTCAACATTTTTGAGTGATGTCATTTTAATGACATTTTTAGTTGAAAAAGTTATCTATGCAGTGAGTAAGTTGATTCCAGAGGTGGTGATTGCAGTGTTGAAATATAGAACTGAGAATAAAGGTATAAATTTAGGTACTTATTTCTTATGAAAGATGTTCTTAGGAAAGATACTTTATTAAATATCTGTAGAAAAAAGGTTTTTTAAGTCTCAACAATTAAAAAAGTATATTTTAAATTTATCCAAATTTTTGCCTATCTCAGGAAAAAAAACTAAAGGCCATATCTTTCCTCCTAATTGTCCGATTTTAACGATTTTTTTTTGTGTGTTTAGGAAATTCCATAAACATTTAAAAAACTACAAACAATATCCCCAAAAACGCGTATAATTTTTGAATTATTCGGAATTTAATTTTAACATCCCTCATAACTTTTTTTCCAGCTTCTTTTCCTTCAAGTATATTATATAGATAAATTTAAAAGGTGTTGAGAAAATGACTTTAGCAAAGTTTCATTGAAATCGATACATTCGTTTAGGCGCTACAGTCTATAGCAACGCAGGTTTTTCTGAATTTTCATTTTTTTTCTCCTTTATTAACTTATCAAATTCTTTCAAAAACTATATGTAGTATTTTTTTATAACTCTGAATAATGCAAAATGATTAACTTTTTAAAATAAACCATTTAAAGGTACTTTAGAGGAAGACGTATATGATCATTGGGCATTTAAGCTCTGTAAAGTGACATCAACGGGGATAAGACTTACAAAGACCACTTAATTATACAATGATACTAGGAACCATTATTCTAGGTAAAAGAACAACTATTCTATAAGTGATGATTATGGCTTGTATTTTCAAACCTATAATTTTGTTTATAGTTAATTATAAATAAGTGTGAGTGTTTTTTTAATATAAAATAATCAATTTAGAGAGCATTAAATGATACCATAAAGAAATAATTGTTTAGAGACAATAAATATGAGCATAAAAAAAAATTAGCTTCTTACGCGTTTTTTAGAAGTTTGCTGCTTAATGGACTGTTTTCTTTTACCAGCTTGTTTCATTTCAGGTTTATGATCACAACCGCTATTATCTGATGAATCAGTTGGATCAGAAGTAATCATCGAAGAAGAAGAGTTACCTCCCTATTTAAATAAAATTTAAAAGATTATATAGAAGTACAATATAATTGTACTTAATTAATGCATTCATTAATTAAAATATAAAAACAATTTTAAAGCTGACAAACAGCTATTAGCATACTAAAACCATAAGTTTAATATTTAGTTGTTGAAAGTTTGATATTTAAATCAGCTGGAAGTTTCATATTTATATTAGCTGAAAGTTTAATTTATAATTCAGCTGAAAGTTTTATATTTAGACTAGCTTAAAGTTGTTACTTACAGGAGGAGAAGTGTTACTCTCATTGTCTTCAGAACTTTCGCTCAGTTCAGAACTTTCAAACCAGAGAGTGAGAAACTTCTGCAATGTGGTCACTCTCTGATCCTTATACAACAAGACAATCAATTGAGCGATTGAAGTCCTCCACTCATCTCTTCCATGAACAGTCAACAGTTCAATCAGAACCTAAATTAAAAAATATTTTTGAAGTTTTTTTATTTACATAATTTAGTAACTACAATTTTACATTCACTTATCCACGTATGAAATACATAATACGGAAAATATTGCGATCATCCAAAATTTTGAATCTATGTTTTCAATGAAAATACATGTTTCAAGGTCCTCTGAGTCCAAATAATTGTTTTCTTGAAAATTTGGGTGTATGTGAACAGTCTAGTTGGAAAACGAAAAGTTTTACAAAACCGATATTATTTATTCATGATAAGCATATGTCTGGGATGTTACAGCAACTTTTTCGTCCAAATCTACAAATGGAATTTTTAGTTCAACTTCAATTTTACAATTTTCTTAAAACCGGCTCAAATTACTCGATCCACATAACCTATTTGATCAAACACATCATATGGATTTAGAATTAAATTCTCTTAAATATCAGTTAAGAATTGACCTCCTTGAAAAGTCTGACAGGGCCTTAATGGTGAATTTAAAAGTTATTTTAATTTTGTTTATTATAAATTAGTTGGCCAGTGCGAAAATTTGCAGATAATTTTGTTTACTGAAGAAATATTAAAACAATATGGAAATAAGTAGTTCCTATGTATTATGTAAGGAAGGAATTAATATTTTTTCCTTAGTCGATTACAATATCCCATTAAACATAATAGACCAAAATATTTATACAGATTGCTTTGCTAGGACCTATTTTTAAATGCTGACTGGAAAGATAATAAAAGTAATAAAGACAAAATAATGCCCCGATCATAGGACATTCTAAATTATAAAAAAAATAAAATGTAAGGACAACCAAATGTCATTAAGAAATAATAAAGTTAATATAAAAGCCAGAAAAAAAAAATGTAGTAGACTATTCTACTCCTAAATGCAATATCTTTAAACAGGAAGACATTATTGAGTGGACCAAAACTAATGGACTGTATCTTTCTTAATAATTGTCCGAATTTCACGATTTTTTTTTGTTTTGTAGGTAATTTAGTGATCTTTCTAATTATCATGGGTACAATCATAAATGGGAGAAAAATGCATACTTTTTGTGTTATTCGCAAATAAAGTTTCTTTTCTTCTATAACTTTTTTTCCAGAAATTTCGGGTGGATAGGACTATTTTTCGCCTGAGAAGGAGCAGAATATCTTCAAAATGAGCGGTCAATCGTTGGATTTGATGAAGAATTGAGGAAGTTATGGTGTACCGACAAAAAAACACCTTTTAGAAATAATATATAGTATAATTAAAGGTGTCACATTGTTAGTCATAATAAAATATAAATATAAAAGAATTTTATAATTAATTAAAGAACAACACGAAAGACATATTTTTTCAAGTTGAAAACTAATGTTCAGAAATAAAAATAATGGTATGTTACACCATTGGAATACTAAAGATTTCAGAAAAATGAATATCTGCCATATAAGGTCGTAGAAGTTAAGGGAGAGTGATGGAAAGCTAATGAATTTTAATTTTTGTAATTAATATTGTTTACTTTTTTACTTGAATGGGAAATGAACTAAATGTAAATATGAAAGTATTTTGATAAGCATACAGTTTATAGACTCATCATAATTTATATTAATTAGCTTAAATTTGTATTTATAATTAAATTAATATACTTGAGCTTTATTAACTTTAAAAACAAATAATTTTTACTGAGAGGAGGGTTGTAAATGTCTAACAATGTTTGTTTATGTTGGATAGCACAACTTCTTCATCGATCATGGCGGAGTTGGAATAGACAATGAGAGAGCTAAATGAGAAGAGTTTATTATGACAGAGTAAAAGGGCTTTATTAATTGCAGAAAAGAGAGGAATAACAGAAGATCTTCCAAGAAACAAGGCCGTTTCACAGTTTTGAATGAAGATTGAGCATGACTATCTTCAAAGTCACCTCCACCGTACTGGAATAGTCAAATCAGCATCAAAGATCTATAACAGCCCTGCATTCTTTGACTTGTCCTGAATTACAGGATAAGACTGAGGAAGAAGTATACTGGACTGATAGACATCGTAGGGCCAAACGGCTCAAGGCGATTAAGACACGAGATTTTAAAAAAATACTTCTTCAATTGACCATTCATTGTTACTAATAAAATCATTTTTCAGTCTCAAACATTAAATGTAATTTGAACTGTAAGTAATAAGAAGAAATAGTTCATAGATTTGGTTTTAAACTATTATATAATAGATAAATTATTGGTATAACTTATATATTTTTATAAATATTAGATTTACTGGGGTGATTTTCTAAGATGACTACACTGACTTTCTAAGCTCAAAGTCTCGAGTTCAAAACTGGTTGATTAACATGGATTAATTAATGGTTGATTGTCTAGATAATGCAAAGTTTTCGCAGTCACACAACCTCAAGTTAATTGTAGTGCTGCCATGGATACATGTCTCATGTCGTCGACATGATTGAGAGAGGAGGAGCTATTCACACGGGCTACTAGTATTCCTTATCCTTATCATTACTAGTATTTTATCCACTTAAACTCCTTCAATTGTCATAGACTTAAGTATGATTAAAAATTGATCCATGAAGCATATGGTAGTGATTTTTTTTTTTAAATTAAGAATAATTTTTCAACTGATAAAAAAACAAGAAAAATTCTAAATGTCAAACAAATCACAAATTAGATAATATTTTACATTCGGGTATCTTAAAATGTATTAATTAAAGATGCGCAAAAAAAAATATGGTATCTTCTTGCAAAGTTGTAGTAAAAATGAAATGGTTTACGTATGTGTAAACATAATGTCTAATAATGATTTTCAATCCTTTGCTATTCAACATATAATTAGTGCAAAATTAGCTAATTTTGAGATGTTAAACTTTTAAATTAACATAATATTTGCTTAAATATATAAAATATATATATTACATAAATATTCATATATTGTAAATAATCAAAGATAAAATTGTATACTTACTTAATATCATAGTTCATAGACCATGAAAAATGAAAATGAACTACTACTGTATGTACCTTATCAAAATTTTGAGCAAAGAGGTTCCAGAGAATGTGATTTTGTTCTGAAAAGCCTTCTCCTCCAATCAATATTCCGTTCGGAATGTGGAGAATATTGCGGAGAAGGACTATAGAGTCATTGAGAGTCTCGCAGTCTTCCTCGCTAAGCTCATCGCCCTTTAGAATCATATTCATCCATCTCTTAATAATTGAAAGGTTATGCAGGAAATATATTGACATTTTTAAATAATTAGAAAATTTTATTTATAACTCAGAAATAAATAGTATAGTATAAATCATTGAAAAATCTGAGGTATACCTAAAACATAAAATAAATTTAATAAAAATCTTAAGATTAGCTCATATAATAATATAAGCTTAAATAAAATAAATACTTAATTTACACTACATTATTTGAAGTGAATATATAGTTTTAAATAAATAAAATAAATATTTAAAAAAAGGGCCAGCTTGTCCAAATAGACAACAGAGGTCGCTTTTTTTTTTTTTTTTACGTAATTACTTTGGAAAAATAAATAAATTATATAAAATGATGTTTAAGAGGTCCTTGAAAAAAATAACAATAAAGGATAGAAACAAAACTGCTTTTAGGGATAATTTTTTATATTATTTTGTTGACACGTGCTTACATTTAATATCTATATATGTATTATAATGTATTTAAAAATAGTACATATTGACATACATATTTATGATAAATATGAACGTTTGGAGAGGCTTCGGCCTAAATGAAAACCTATAGCCGGCCCTAAAAAAAAAAAAAAAAAAAAAAAAGCTATGAAAATAAAAGGCTAAATATTTCTAGCTGTGAAATTACTCTACTCCCAGACACTCTACTACTTTTAATAATAAAAGAATGACAGGTAAGTGCGCTAGAAAAAAGTGAAATTTTAATCCCAAGCAACCGCCTCATTTATCAAAATGCTTTTACCTGAGAAAGCAAAATTCTTTGTGTAGTGGTGTTATCTTTTCCCTGAAGACAAAAATAGTAAAATATCTTTCATTTAAAATTGTATCAAATTTATGAATATTATAATGTTTGTAGAATGTTTAATAATGCTATTTGTGCACAGATTGGATATCAAATGAGTCTCAGTTCATTTTTTTTTGTATTTCAAATAAAATAAAATGGAGGTTTTGGTGTCTGGCATAATATTCTTCTCTTTTGAATAAATTAGTAAATAATTTTTATTGTAATGTCATTCAAAAGAGATGAATATGGTGTTGGACACTGAAATCTCAATTTTACTAGTTATATAATAAATAAAATGAAGCGAGACTATCCTATGGTATCAATCTAAATAATTAGAATATTTTGTTTTAAAAGCTTCATAGTAAAAAGTTATAGAAGTATTAAAATTAAATTTGTAAAGAAGCAACATGAGTAAAAAAGATAAGTGTATACAAGTTATTATTATGAATAACTATTTTTAATTCAAATTAACACCAGAAAGATTAATGTTTATAATCAATTACCAAATTTTCATTACTGATTTCTGAGAAAAGGAATTCCAGTGGAAGATGTATTAAACTCACTGTTTAAAAGCCTTTATTCCTTTATTAATTAGCCAGGATGAGTCCTTTATTTTTTAAATCAAGCCGATTCTTTACTATAATAGTAATTTATTTTCTATTCTAATATACGAGAATTGAATACGATATTAGGAAATTCTCCTGAGGCAAACTTAGCCTTTAAAGAGTTGAGCCCATAAATCAGTGGCCAGATGAAACCAACTACTTGAGAACAACCTAATATTACACCCATGAGTCTAATGTAGATTTTAAAGATAGTGATTATATTGAGAGATGGGAAAACATTCTTCACTAGTATTCACAGTATTCTTTAGAACATTAAAAATGAGCCTTCAAAGTCATTTACCCAGTGAAATAACTATACTTTCTTTACTTGTACTAAAATTAATGAAAACTTCACAGTGAAAAACTAAATTAATCAGACTGAAAAGCAGTGTTCGTCTAAGTTGTGAGCAATCGAAACCCAAACTGAAGGGACACCCACCACTAGTTGGGAGTTTTAAAAAAATATTGGGTTGTCAAATAAGTCCTTTCGGTTTTCTTGTTTGTTTTTATGTCACTATGATACAATTCTTATCTGATGAATTAAACCCTAAGGTGGATTGTTTATCCTGTTTGTAATATGTTAACAACTATATCTGTTAACTCTTGTTGAAACTAGCTTAGTATTGTGTTTGCTATTGCACTGTGAATATGGAAGAAAATATCATTCATTAAGCTTATTTTGTTGTATTATTTTAAAAAAGATAAGCGTACTGCAGAAGCTCATAGAAAAATTTGTAGTGTTTATGAACATGATGCCTAAACCAAATTCACCTGTCAAAAGTGGTTTGAAATTTTGACATCAATGATGCTCAATGGTCTGGTCACCCACATGAAATTGAAACAAGCAATGTTGAGGCCATTGTTGATCAAAATTCTACCCAATCAGTGCGAGAGATTGTTACGGCCCTAAATGTGTCGCACACAAGCGTAGAAAACCATTTGCACAAGCTCGGCTATGCTTCCAGGCTAAATTTTTGGGTCCCTCACATGATTTTTTTTTTTTTAGTGAAAATCACAAAAATGTTATAACTTCAATACGACTTCAGCTTTCTACAAGAAATTTATCAGGAATTTAGGGCCACATAAACTACACAAAATGAAATAAACAGGTCCTTTGTAAACAAACTACTAATGGAGATAAATAATAAAAACGGCTTTGAAGAGTAATAATCCAGCTTTTCAACGGATATAGTAACATCGAATTTGGAGAACATCCTGAAGAGTTATGAATGATCGGAAGGGTGTTGTGTTCCACCAAGACAATGCTAGGCCCCACACCTCATTGGACACTCGCAATAAATTATTGAGCTTTGGATGGGACCTTTTGCCCCACCCTCCCTATTCACCAGACCTAGCTCCACGTGTCTACCACTTATTCCGGTCCCTGCAGAACTCCATGAATGGGAAGAAATTTCAAAAGGAAGAGAACATCAAAAACCACTTGGATCAGTTTTTTAACAATAAACTCCAGACATTCTATGAACATGGCATTAAGCAGTTAGTGGAAGGATGAGCAAAAGTCATATTAAATAATGGTCAATATATTGTGGATTAAAATAAATTTTATGTCTATAACACATTGAGTTTTATTTCACCCTAAAAAACCGAAAGGACTTATTTGCCAACTAATACAAAGCTATGGGATAAATTAATGTTTGCCTAAATTATAGGAACTGATAGAGACATATATAATGAAATAAAATTGAAATGTACATTTGCCTTCTCTCTGTATCACATAAGGCCTAATGAAGAAATTAATAATATTACTAAAGAAAAATTAGTTTCATCTTTCGTATTTGAATTGTTTGTTGCAGAAACGATACATGTATTACTTTTATCAGTCTTGAGGCAAGAGTGGTTCGGTATACATTTATCATAGACATTTCTTTAAAATACAGGGAGGGGAAAAAGTACATATTTTTTCATCCATCCCTTTAAAAAATCAAATTCATATATTTGGAATAAGAAAAATTTCTAAACCCTCCCCAAAACTCGATATATAAAAATAAGCAGAATCCTAAAAACAATTAAAAAGTCTCTGCTGAAATATGGTAATTGGTAACTGTTTTAACTGTTTCATATTAAATTGCAGGTTAATTTCCCTTACTTCAATGCTTTTTCCATCCATTAACGGTTAATTTATAGCTACAAAACAGTGCTAATAGTTCGCATTTTGGGTTCTAAAAAAGCCAAACTTATATGACATGAAAGTAAAAAGGAGGAGCTCAGAACAGATTTTTTATTTTTGAGGTCTCTTAAAAAATATAATTAAAAAATCTCCCTGCCATGGGACCTAATAAGTAGGAACTAGAGAAAACTAACAATAAAAAGCTAAATTAAAAAGTCAAAGGTTGGATGCTAGTGTTATTAACAATAACTGCTTAAATATTGGTGTTCACCGAACTTTGTCAAAATTGTATTATGCTTAAACAAATCTTCCACATATGCATGTAGGTCTTCCACACGGATATTTTAATTAAGTTTTCTATGAATTTGTCTCTTAAATTGTGTCCTTGCATGAGCATTTTCAATTATATCAATTAGCATGTTTGTTTCACAATTTTGCATTGTTTGAACTCATAAATTTAATAGTGGATTTATTATTGGGTAAAAGATTCTATGCAATATTCCATTTTCTAATACCATTAGATATTCTTACTTCAACATAAGCAGTGATAAGGCGTAATGGGAAGGAAAATAATATTGTAAATTTTAATTTCCATATATCTGGTACATAGGGGCAAACTAAATCATTTTAAAAGTAAGACATAACTCCCATTTCTTAATCGCATCTTGCTATGCAGTAATCATTTCCTAGCTTGATTTCTATAACAACAGTCATGGATTAACCCTGCGGTTGAGAGACTCTCTTGTAGCAAACCCAGCCTCTATAAAGTGGCCATTTTAATTCGGAGGCAAAACTAAATTTTTTTTATATTCACTATAACTTATAGTTATTGGAATTCTTTAAAAATCATTATGGCTAAATAATTGTTGTTTTTTTTTCTTATAAAAATATGTAGTCGCTGGAGATAAATAATATAATACATGACAAATTGATGCTAAGTACAAGTGACCTTAAAGTCCTTGCCTAAAAAAATACAAAATTAGCAAACAGTGTATTTTAAACAAAATAAAACAACAGCTAATAAGAAAAAAAATTGTACTTATGTTAGTGATTTAAACAGATCAATGCTCTGTTATTTCTTCTTAACTTTTTTTTTGTTTTTTTCCTAAGTATCATTTCTACAAGTTCGTTTTACAAATATAAAGAAACAAAGTTTCCTAATCCCTTACCCTTCTGCCTGATCATTCATCTGACCCTGAAGAGAACTCTGACAGCGAAGGACAATCCTCAGGAAAAACTAAAGAAGGGCTATGAATTTACCTGATGAAATAGTACGGACAAGGGTCCCTGAAAATGTAGTTGTACTAAACACATAACATTTCGATTAATTTTGAGTCACTTTCAAGATCTTATGTCTAGAAAATATAAAAATGAATTTGGTTTTGCTTAGTATTTTTTTACAAACATACTCCCAGATTAGCCAATCCAAATATAGCAGATTAATCAATAC